ATACAGCCTTTCCTCTGACCCAGCAAAGCCCTTTTAAAGACAGCGGGGTTTTCTTGCCTGAGTAACATTGCAGCCATACCACTTACTCGCTTCTTGGCCACTGCTGAAGTCTGTCCAGTGCCACTCCAGGCCAATGTCACATTCCCCAGGGGGTATCCTGTCTGGGACATGCGGGCTCTGCTGCTCTCTGTGCAAGGGAGAAGGGGATGATGATAGCTAAGAGAAAGGCTTGGCAGGGCTATAAATCATGAGCAGCACCTTGTGCTGTTTTGACATTCCTGTAGCCTTGGTTTTAGTCTTTCCACCATGAATAAGTCTTGAGATTTAGTAAGGATGGATCTCTTGGGATACACATGATGCCTTCACATCTACCTGCCAGCTTCTCCACCATCTATCCGTTTCCCTTCCCTACTCGCAAAGCCATTGTGCTGGTCATTCCAACTCCACTACATCCATTTGCAGGTGGTGTCGATGCTGCCAGATCTCATTTCTGAATCAGGGATGACTTGGAGAGTTTAGTAATGGCTCTCCTTCTATGTCTGGTAGAAAGAGGGGGCAGCATGAAAGGATTATGGCTGGATCCAACCGAGAGTTATTTTCACATATTCCTAGTGTTAAGACACAGATAAGTTTTAACAAATTTGCTGTTGAAAACACTGTGGTTCATGAAAGTAGGTGATGAATGATACTTTGTTGGGTTGTGTCTCTTGGCTGGTGCAGGTTGGATAATCTAGAAAGCAGCAGATAAAAATCTTAATGGCTTAATTCTCTTTTATAATCCAAACATTGGAAAGATCTATTAGCTTGTCTTACAGCAGATCAGTACAGGAGTGAATTTGCTTGTGCACAGTGACTTCTGCAGCTACTCTTTGTGGGTTTTCCTTTCTTGTCTTTAGGGTGCTAGGGCAAAGATTAATAGGAGAGTTTGTGTCAGGTGGTTGGGCCAAGTCCTGATTTCTGCAGTGCTCTCACACCTCAGGGCTAAGCCAGCAGCATGGATTGGAGAAAATGCAGTGTGAGACCCTCCGTCAACACATCTCTAGGGCATTTATTTTCATTTCTAGGAATCCTTCCTGCTTCTACTTTGTGGAAGGGACCCTGTAAATAAAGCTGTTGTGTTTCAGTGACAACATTGAAGAGGTCAGGAGAGGGGCACAGCTCCAAACTTAGCCAGGTAAGCAGTTCATTTTCATGACGGTGAGGCCAGTCAGAGCAGAGCCAAGCCACGAGGCACTTATTTCCACATTCTCTGTGGTTCCAGAACCACCTAACCTAGGGAAGGGAAAGCATACATGCACATACCACTCCTTCTCCCCCAGCCCCAAGGAGTAGTTCTGGCAGCGTTGCCTATGTGGATCTCACTTTGTACCAAACAAACATTAGGCTAAACTTAATTTCATTTTCCTTTTATTTCTTATTTTGTTTCCAGGTGTATGCAACTTTTACTCTTTTGCAACCATTTTGCATGCTGTTTTCTGGTATCCTGCAAGCTACTCACCATCCACAGCTCATAGGCTACGAAACACTAGTCCTGGGTACAAGGCAGGGCTAGAGCTAGAGTGAACATTAGTTGTGGGTTTGAGGCTGTATCTAGAAGGTAACTGAAGCCACATCCCTTCATGAGAACACATAGCTTAACCTTCCTACAGGACGTAAGCAAAGACCTACAACCACCTTATTTGTGAGCATTTTGGGCTAAAGGTGCACAGAAAAAGGCTTAATAAACCGTGTTCTCACAGCAAGAAGCAGCAGAATTTGGCTTGACCTGCCACAGGGGGATTGTTCATTTGTTTGTTGTTCCAGGAGTCAGTGTTTTGTGCAGTGCAAACAAGCACCTTGGAGGACAGGCAGCCACCTGGACTCAAAGGCAGTAGCAGGTGAGGTAGAGAAAGTACTCTTGGCACTTGGAAACAGAAAGTTACAAATAGAAATCAGAGAAGCTGATTTCACCGGGGCATGCAGTTTCTTCCCACTGTCATTTCAATGGGGGGAGATGACAAACCTGCAATCAGGTCTTTGTGGAGACCCCTCTTCCCAAATCTCTGCCAACCCCCCTGAGGGGTGCAGCCCCTGAACCAGGCCTGCAGCAATGCTCTCTCTTCCCAAGGACTGTGTGCTTCAGCTCAGTTTTACACTCGAACAGCTTCCAACATGGCTCCATTTTCTTCAAAACTTCCTCCTCTGAGCCTGTTTCCAATCACAACTGCAATCTTTTCATGGTTTTTTTTGGCTGCCAGCTCATGGTTTAGTGCTGAGCAAGCAACAGGCTACCTTGGACAGGGTTGTTCTCCTTGGACACGGCTATATCCTCCAAGAAAGGCATTAGCCACAAAGAATACAGTTGCTGTGCTCCAGCTGCAGAACAGCCACATATGCTAGATTTAATTCAAAGAATAAAGGATACTCAGATGTTTAATATAGGAAAGGGAATGCCAGAGTAAGTTGTAAGTGGGCAGAGGCAATGGGAACCGAACCTCAGCAAGGCTTTGTCTGGGATGCCAAGCTCTTATACATGCTTAAACGTGATTTTTAATAGTCCTATTCCCTTGAAACCAGCTTTTCTTGCTAGATTTTCAGCACCCCTGAACCCAGAGAAGATTGGGATCCCACCTGAAAACAAACTTGAAGGAAATGCTTTGAAATGTCAGTGATCCTGAGGGATGTGTTGAGAGGCCCTAGTTCATGTTCCTAGTCCTGATCATGTACTACTGAGAAGACCTGGTAAGAAAAGTCCCTGTCTTTCTTTCTTTTTTTTTTTTTTTTTTAAAAATTGTTCTAAACAAAGCTGAACCATGACAGCTTAGCTCAGAGGGGCTAGCTGCTTTTTCTACATACCTGCTGAAGTTTGCAAGACGTCGTCCCACTCTGCTTACCTTCAAGGATGAGTCTGAAGCATCTGACAGAAGCAAAAATCTTAGGTAATTTTGTTGAGATCAGTGGTATAAAATAAGAGTTAAATGGCTCAGAAGTAATACTATGAGCTTTTGCTTTGAGGCCTTCTTGAGGCCAGAATCTGTCTCATCATTGCAAATAATACCTGATGGCAAAAGACAGTTATAGATTTACCATTGTTACAAAGCTTAAGTGGTCCTTGAAGACTGGAAATAGCTTTTCTTTTGGCCAAGAATCTGCCCTCTCAACCTTTTGTTTGCTGTTTGAATTCCCAATATTCCTTTTTCACAAGGTATCTAACATTCTTCATCATTAAAGACAATATTAACCAGCCTACCACCACCACCACCCCCTTTTTTTGTTTTTAGACTTCTCAGTAACTTGCAATAAACTGGTAGGTACTGGAAAAGATTCTAGTATCCCAAGGCCGCTTACATTCCTTAGACCCTAGGAGGTCTATGGTGAGGACAGATTGTCATAAAACCCTGAGCCTGTCCCCCAGTTCTGTGAAGGGGGGAACCAGTCACCCTACCTGTACTACACTTTCTGTGCAGTCTTCTCTGCAGATGCGACCTCCCTGCCCTGTAGGCCCCCGGGGCTAACCAGAGAGTGCTTTTTGTCAACAGCTGTTCAGAGAAGGCTGTTCAATGAGGGCTGTTGCTTCCCAGATCTGCAGATGAGTGTCCTAAAGCCAGGTGGACTGGAAGCCAGTCAGGTTGTTACAGCTAGACTGATGTATTGGCACCCACTCAGTATGTCCTTGGAGGCCCTGGATTTGTACAGACCTGCAGAACTCTGCTGTCTTCCCAGTCCGTGCTCTGATAACCAGCATGCTGGAAAAGGCACCACAGCCATATTACTGCTAGTTCCCTGCCCACAGGTACCTGTGAGAATGGAGGTCATCTGCACATGTGGTGTCTGGAAAGCCTCAGGTACAGGAGTGTTTTGTTCATCAAGCCAAAGCCAGGCACAATGTGCTCTTTAATATTCTCATCAAGAAACATCTTTGCTTTTACTTGTTCTTTCTTGGAGCAGTTTTAGGTTTGAGACCTCAACTAACTGATGGCCGAGTTTACTCACTTGAGAAATACTGCTTTATGCTTGCCCCGTTATATTTTTCGAGGTATCTGCTGAGCACTAGCTGCAGTGACAGGTTAAGTGGATCTTGCCATTCTGTCACCTATGCTTTTATCAAACTTTTCTGTAAGTCAGAGCAGGCAACAGAATACAGGAGCTGATTCAGAGCCAGGGGCAGGGGCAGAATAACCTCGGCATGCAACCAGGAATCTGTCTTGGAGAACAGCGAAATAACTGGGGTTTTATGGTTAAGACTGTCTTCACTCAGGAGCAGCTTCTAAAATCTGCCTGTGCAATACTTACTGAAATTCAGCCCACAGGCAGGACAGTCATCTAGAGCAGTATCTCCAGGGAGGCCCAGCTCTGGGTCAGGCACAAACCTAGTCAGGCTGTACCAGAAAGCACATGCACTTAGAGCTTAGGAAAGGCTGCCTGGGCAGGAATAAAAATTAAGATAAATACCTGAAATCAAGAGTGAAAATCTCTTTCTTAAAGTCTTGAGGTTGTAATTTCCTGGGATTTCTACTTGTGGTTTTTTGTGTGTTTTTAAATACCAGAGCTCCAGTTGTATACTGTGAGTGAAGTTCTTGCTCCAGCTGGTGGTAGCAATTCTGAAAATTTTCTGAAGTTATATAAGTAGTGAATTATAGGGATGTAGGTTAGTTTGTGGTAAATTCAATTCATGTATTCCTTAGCAAAGATTTCTGGGAATATATCATCATGCCAAACTGTCCCTCAGAAACAAAAGAAGAAAGTAAAACTAGTCAGCAAATTCTGCAGGGTTACCAAAGTACAAATATTTTCCGCTGTAGCAGGAATTATGAAGTTCTTCCTAGACAGAACATTCCTATCTTAAGGAAACAGTGCAAAAAGCAACCCAAAAGGACAGATTCCAAAATACTGTAGATTTTTCTAATAAAAAGCTATAATGAGTCCAGAAGAGAAGCCCAGAGATGATTTAACTCACTTTTATCAAATTGTCAGACATTCAAACAGCATTCAACTTTAAAGATTTCACCATTTCAGCAAGCTTTCTTACAAAAAGGTTATGTTCATTCTAAGATACAAAATTCAATCTACAGAGCTTCTATCGAAGTACAATCATCTCACAGATATAAACACTGATCAATAGCGTAGCATCTAGCAGTTGATGTATTTAAATATAAAACCCCACATCACTTTAAAGACATTTGCTTGCAAACAGTTCATTAATTATATGCACAAGGTAGAAGTCTCCTTACACATTGTATAATCTCCGTACAGTGTTTTGTTTAAAGGACCGAGTTGTATCTAAGGAGAAACAGTGTTCTTCAGCCTTTTGCTTACTGAAATTGCAGCCATGAATGCTCACCCATCTTTAAAACAAATCAAGCCACAAGATGAATCTGAGGTAAGAACCATATAGGTTGCCTAATTCGTAGAAGACAGACTTCCACAACAACCTACAGAGACGAATGTAACTGTTTCCCTTAAAATCTTCCAGTAAGCACTCTTCTACTGAGACCTTTACTCTCTGTACAGGAGCTTGTTGCAGAGAAAACACAAGTGCCTGTGCCATTTGCAAGTTAGGTGTAGAAAGAATGACTAAAACACCAAGTGCTCTTGGAACTGAAATTCTGAGCTGATATTTTGCTGTTAGGAGGAAATTGTCTTGATAACAGTCCATTTGACACTGTCTGATTGAACATGAAGTGCAAAACAGGCCTAGAAATAAAACCGATGCTGAACAAATGAAAGACGCAAGGGGAGAAAAGAGAAAGATAGGTTAAACTCATTCTTTCAATCCAATCTATGCCACAGACATGGAATTTAAATTAGAGAAACAAAATTCTATCAGAACCTTTGTACAATTTCTCTTAACAAAGCCTAGAACAACAAAGCCTAGGATCAACAAAGCCTGCTTACACTACTCTGGGTATTCCTGGAGACATAATTACACTGAGGGTCACATCTCTCTTCAACAGCTGAAGGAAGGGCAATAAAATCCTCTGGGTATTTCAGCCTGAGCTGTAGTAACATTGGCATCAATCTAGCGTAGGCACATAATTGCACTTGGTGTTGGCATAAAGTGTATTGCTGAAAAATGAAAAAATGAAATAATTTTGCAATTTGCAGGAGATGAAGACGACAGCTGCTAAAACCTTGCTTCTGCAGAACATCAGTAGTGCATATGTGGATTTTACCCAAGATGCGCGCAGTGGTCCTTAGCTGTACAAGTACTCTGGCTTCAGCCATGAGGTGGGCAGGGACAGTACAGACATACAATTTTTGTCTACTGCTGGCAGCTACTACCAGGCCTGCTTTGCTGAACAGGACAGGATCACACAGCTTAGGTGATGCACTATCATGACCTAAAGGTCTAAATCTTTGCCAGCGTAAAGCTAAGGGTAAAAAGGAGATGCATCTTTCCAAGGCAGTATCTCCCAAAAGCTTGCCGTTTTGCCTAACAGTGAGAAAATAAGCCCCGAAAACTGAAAATGCAAGAGGCCCAGTAAGAGCTGACATTTATTCAATGCTAATACCTAAAGATTTACAGATACTGAACAGTAACTCTTTTCTCACCTAGAGAGACAGAAATACATACCCACCGGTCCACAAGAAACAGCCACTGCCCAAGTCAGTACTTTTTCAGGCTGTATGGCAGACCTAGAACCGATTTGGCACCTGGAAATGGTGGGGAACTCCACACAGCAGAGCTTGTGCGCTTGAAGTAGCGTGGTTTGCTTTTGTAAAAGATGTCCTCCAGCTTGGGGCTTGCAATCACCCCAAAGAGTGCATCAACATTGGGAGGGTTGTAGTACTGGCGGATTACAGCTTGGCTAAGCTGATTCCCTAGAGAAACAAAAGATTAAATTTTCATTAATTTTTTTAATTGAAATTGCTGTGCAGGCTGCTTGTATGCAATGTGTCCCTGCTCTCCTCATCTCTAATCAGAGATCACAAATGGGAGAAATCCTGCAGTATTTGATGTTTTAAAGCACCCTGTTTAAGCCTTAAGATTCACCATAGTTCACTTGGAGGGCAAATATCGCATGTGCTGAGTTCTGCCCAGGAACTAGAATAAGTTTGCAAGAGGCAAGGTTTCTCAGCTTTTCTTCCTGGAGATACCATTAGTTTCCCCACAACATCTTAGCTCCCCTGGGGTAGGTGGAATATGAAATCATGGAAATGAGTATTTCAGAACCAGAACAGCCAGTCTGAAACCTGGTCCATGACATCTGGCATTACTTTGCTTTTTAAAGCCAAATCAATGTCAAGCAGGCTCAAGGCCACAGCACTAATTCATAATTATTCCTTTCACGTTGGCAAAATGACACTAGAAGCTCTGTTAAGGCAGTTTAACAGAGTATTTTTTCCCCAACATTGTCGCAAGAAGGTCCCCAAGTGGCAGAGGAGCCCTTAACTCAGCACTCCAGCCACGCTGCTGGAGATTAGTACTTTTAACTACAGTGTGCAAGTAGGAGGAACTGGGCAAAAATTTTACACCAGGTCTTACTATCCATTGGAGCAAAGCTGTAGTAGGGTTTGTCAGGGGATCTCAGCACAGATATCAACCTGCTAACACATACCAGTGGCCCAGGCAGGGATGGGCTTGCGAGGCTGGCTTTCGTCATCAGTAGAGTCATCGCTATTCAGATCCATTCCATAGTTGTTTGGATTTACCGTGGGGGCCTTTGAATCTTTCTGGGCCTGTGGAGTCATCTGGTATGAATTGCAGGCAGGTGAATTCTAGAAGACAAATATATTCCACAGGCATTAGATACAATAGCACTGCTACGCTTCCGAGCTGCAGCAAGATGCTTGTCGGCTAGCGTACCTCAATATTCCATCTTTGCTTTATCGCATAATTGCAAAACCTGAAGTTTGGCAGTTCTAAAGTTTTGATCCAAGAACTTGACCCAAGTTCCAAAGTTTTGAGCCAGTTATGATTTTGCATTGCCTTCTCCTGTTTAATTAGGCTGCTTAACTGGATATGTATGACATGAACAAGCCAGCAATAGATGCATCTAATATACATACAGCAGTTCCATTCGATTCAAGCAAGGCTTGAATGAAGTTGTTACGTCCTCAAAGTTGGAGCTGAGTAATGTGCTTTAAATAGCCTGCAACCAAACTTCTGGGCTTAATAATATTAAACTGATTATTACCATGTAGAGAATATACACAGCTCAGGACAAACTGTATTAAAATTTTTATGGGAACAGCATGACAGGGAAACGCAAGTGATGAAGAAAAATCTAAAACTGCAAATTTCACCAACCATGAAATATATCTAGAGTTGGAAAGTTTTTCTTCCTCATAGGACGCTGCCTTCATGGCTTTATGTCCATTAACATTAACTCATATTTCACTAGTTTTGCACTTAAAGATTAAAATATATAGCTTTGCAAGGAGATAAAGATCCATATATTTGTTTTCAATGTTCAAGACCTGTACATTCACCTGCAGGTTTTTCTCAAGTTCCATCAGCAGTGAGGCCCAAATGCAATACTCTTGCACAGACTCTGCTGCCATCCTGTGGCTGTTTCCAGCTTTGAACTTAAATAACATTTGCAACACCTCTTCCGCCTGTGAGGTTCATCCAGTATTTAAAGAGGAGCTTAAAAAGGCAAGGTAATTGTAACAGCTACTGCCTTATCCTGACAACAAGAAAACCCTGGCAAACACTTGCTGCTTCTCTTCCCTCCTTTTGACTCCCCAAAAGTTATTTAAATACTCAAGGCCACCAGGAGTCAACCTCAGATAACAAGGAAAAACATTTACAGAATCCCTTCATTACTGAAAGGGAATATAAAAAGCAGAGGGTAAAACTGCCCATTGTAACAGCATGTCAATGCTGGAATCAAAGTTCTCTGATGTCATCCCTTAAAGAAATTTCACCAGAGAGCGCAGAATTACCTCTTTGTTTTCTAGGTGCTGTGTTTGGGCTATATCTTTAGCCTTTTGTTCCTTTGGTAGTTTCTTCTGTTCTTGCTCCTGACTCTTCATCTCTGCTAGCCTCTGCTCCTCCTGCTGGCAAGCCAATGCCACAAATTAATTAATCTTATGAACTAAGCTACGCTGTTAACCCGGGGATCCATTTTTTTGACATGCAAAAAAAAAAAAAAATAATCTAAGCACCTGATTGCAAGTCTTTGTTGCTTGTGATGCTAAGGATCACTTTGAACAAATGCAATGCAACGGTTAGCTTTCCTCACAAAGTGGCACAAACTGACCTTCCCATTTAAGAGCATTAGTTCCCGTCCTCTGATAATGCAATGACCTCATGCTTTGAAAAACTTGCTACTGACTTTATCTTCAGGATATAAACATCAGAATGCAGCTGACCATCTGCAGATGGAAAAGTCTATGCTACTGATCTTAGCCTCTTTTTAGACTAATAAACAGTATTTTTATAGACCAAGTCATCCTATTGTACAGTAACCATCCCAAACAGGTCAAAAGAATCTCACCCTATGAATGCTTAGTTTTTCCTACTGAATCTGAAGGAAACCAAGAGGCTGCTAACTCAAAACAGTAGACATCTAAAATCTACTGAAATAAATCCCACCCAGTCTTAACGGCAGAACAAGTTGTACTGAGGTCTACCATCAGCTGCCTGTCAACTTCACAAAGCTAACTGAGAGCGAGGGGCTTGCTGGGCATGGAGGGATCCCCACCAAGGAATTCAGCTCCCTGAGGGCAGCTGGACAACTGCTGTCAGTGTGCTAATACCACAGCTCTGCTAAGTGGAGTGACAATGATTTCAGGCAAATGTTGGAAAATTTCCAACCAACTAGTCCACCCTTCTGTTCTTTCTCACAAATCATCTTGAAAGCACGAGTTCTCCCAAATCTTATATAAATCAAAAAGCAACAGTCCCAATAGCAAAAGGTTTGCTACCAATTCCCAGCAATTACTCTGTGCAAATACTTCAGAAGGGACATTCCAAAAGCTACCCGAACGACACCTGTGGGCTTTATCTCTGCTCTGGTGAAAATGTATGTTGCAAGTTAAGCAAAAACCTGAGCCTATCCAGCTGCAGTTGCTTTATTCAAATAGCATGAACTGCCAAGGCATCAAAAGTTCCCTCTTCAATACCACAAGCAAAAACACCTGCTTAGTTTATCTATGCTGCATGACTGTTGCAGAAAAAGCCTACAAGTCTGTACTTGTGGTTCTGTTGAAAGTGGCACAAATGTAAAATTAAGATGTTGCTTCTGAAAAGTCTGGAATAAATTATTGATATCAAGAGAGGTGCGGATACACCTGGGCACAGAAAGGGGGAAAAGCTGAAAACCTCACTTCAATTCAATGTGTGTGTTTTCTGTTCTTTCTTCTTGCACTGCTGCCATCTAAAGAGAGCAAGTATACCTTCTGAAATGGACAGAGAACAGACTTTGGTTGGCTCAAGTTCAGAAGTGCAACAACTCACTCATCAGGGTTCTTGATGGCTTCACAGCTCAGCTGCTCCTAACAGTAACAGCTACTGAAGTCAGATCCATGTGGCTCTACCCATCTACAAGTAGAGAGTACTTACTTCTTTCTTTTCTGTCTCTTTGTGGAGCTGTTCTTTAGCAGACAACACTTCCTTTTGCAGGCGAGCAGCTTTCTCCTGCTGTTCATGTAGCCTGAGAACCAAAGCAACAGACCATTACTCTCAAAACTATGCAGGGGTACCCTCCCATCCAGTGCCTGCTGCAAACCCCTCTTTTTCTCCCAGCTTTTCAGGGCACATCCCACCATACTTCCTATGTTATTGAGCCCAGAATTTCTTCTTGGCATCTCAGTACACATAATGGTCCAGAGTTACACCGACAGCACAAAGTAGCTCTTCACTGCTTGGGCGTTTCAATAGAGCCCTCAGTTACTGCTTCTTTTCAAAGTCCCAGCACAGAATTTAGTACATAAATAGATATTGTCTTACTTTTCTGCCTGGATCCTCTCCTGTTCCTTCTTCTTCTCCATCTCTCTCTCTACAGCCAGTTGTTTCTCTCTCTCCTGTTCTGCCTGTCTCTGCTCAGCAATCTTCCTGGCACGTTCCTGCTCCTCTTCCTTCCTCTTCTGCATTAGCTCTTTGTGCCGACGTTCCTCCTCCTCCTGGTAAACCCAACAAGGCAATTACACACCTTACATTGCAGAGGAACAAGCTCCAGAATAAAGGAGCAGGAACACCTTATTTGACTCAAGTCTCCAGCACCTATCAGTACACAGCAGGGAAGCAACTCAGGGCTTAAGTCCCAGTGCTTTCAAGGTAGGTGCATCATCTCTCCAGCTATTTCAATGCTGGCCTTCCCCTGCCCACAATGTACCCCAAAGGGCCTAATGGCCACCATGCTTTGGATCTCTGAGAGACAGGTTTAACTGAGAAATTTTAATACGTGCCAATCCACAAATTAAGGTCTTTAGTAAGAATCTGTCCAGAACTGCAGAAGAAATGTGGGTCACAATCACCACTAACAGCTTACAGCATATTGCAAGAGGAAGCAGGAAGCACAACACTGCAGAGAGCTTTAAGGACAAAGACTCTCCGCTACACTAATTTCACTCAGTTGTTTTGTGTTAGTACTCCCACTGGATTCCTTGCTTACAAAGACTGTGGCAGACTGTGGCCATTCTAATTGCATGCAGGATGACAGGATGGGCTCCAGCACAGACCTGCTGCAGTGCTTTTTGTTTTCTGGCCTCTTCATCATGCCTGCGCCGGGCCTCTGCTTCTTCCATTTTCTTGGCAGCTGCTTTCTTTTTCATCTTCTCTTCTGCCAACCTTTCTTCCCGCACCTAAGACACACATGTAGCTAGCCGAATACCTAAATCTCAGATGGGAGAGTTCTCTGTGCATGTGAAATACCATAGCAGCAAGTCTCAAAGATGCAGAGCTTCCACCCTCTCACAAAGCAAAAGCTTCCTTTTTTGCCACCAGGAGCCAATGGGATCTGTGCTTTATTTTAAAAAGGTAATATTTAGGGAAATGACCTTCTTTTACATCTCCATAGGAAGAGCTGATCCTATTCTGGTATTTATACACCTAATACCACAAAAAACATCAGAATATTTTCTCAGAACCATGAAATAATAAAAGCAGATGGAGATAATTAAAGCAGAGAAATGACTGCTATGGTCCCATGTGCAAATTGTCTGAAAATCTCAGATACAAGAAAGGGTCTGGAGGAAGTATGTTTATTTTCACCTTTTCATCTATTAGTCAGATGGGAGAACAACTTCAAGTAGATAAAGCCTCAGGGCCATTAGGCTGGCTTTATCTACTTGAAGTTCTTCTCCCATTTGTCTAACAGAGCCTTGCTAAAGCCCATTTAGATTCATAATTCTGGAAAATAAGGGTTTTCATCTGCCATTTGCTGTAACCAAGAGAAAGGCAGTCACTCAGAATCACCAAGTTTCTGGAAAGATCTTTATTCAACCATCCTCCAGTTCATTCTCTAGATTTCAACAGCCTCAGTTCCTCTCTTTCTGGAAGGCATGGTCATGTGGCATCGTCTACCGCAACAGACTTTATTCTCCCAAATAAACTCTATAAGTATATTGGGCCTTACCTTCTCAGTCTTCTCATCAAACAGAGCTATCTTCTGCTCAATGCGCCTTTTCCTCTCTTCCTCTATTTGTTCTGCCCGTTCCCGAGCTTGCAACACTTTGCGCAGGCGCTCCTCACGCTTCCTATAGGACACAGCCCAACTTCATCATTGTAGTCCAGCTAGATGAGTTCTTTACAACTCAAATACAAGGCCAACAGACACAGCTCTTGGGCAGCATGAAATTCACTGAACGAAATACACCATTCATTTAAGCATTAGCAATATTTTTAAGGTCCACCTGAGACAGAGGACTTAAGACAAAAAGCTGAAGAAGCAGTCAGCTAGGATAGTTAACTTTTCATTAGCATTCTAGACAGATACTATGAGAACAAATATTGTCTTTGCAGTGTGAAAGCAGGCCAACAAGAATTTTTGCTGCATGTAAGAACACTGCAAGATAAAAGACCTAGATATAGGGACCTACAGGTGCAGAGAGAGCAGTCTAGACAAGGGAGAAAGCATATACTCACAGCCTTGCCTCTTCTAGTCGCCGTTTCTTTTCTTCCTCCAGTTTTTGTTTTCTCAGCTGCTCAGCTTCTTGCTTTTTTCTCAGAGTCTCTAGCTTCTGTCTCTCCTTTTCCTAGGTGGATTGAAATGTGATTATACCTACCTGCCAGGGCTTCCTTCTACCTCAATTTGCTCAGGTTAATGGCCCAGAGGTAACACCGAGGAACTGCAGCCAGAACCAAAGGATGGTAACAAGCCTGAAACAGAGCTCAGGTAGCCTGTGATGTGGTCATGAATGTTTGGGAACAGATGTGATAGAAAACAAGGCAGTGGTATTAATCTTAGAAAGTGAGAGAAACTGGGCAGCTGAAACAGAAGCATCAGCTCCTGAAGTCCAGGCAGCTTCCGCAGAGATTGCAGACAGACAGCACTGTGATTTATGTTGGTAAAAAGAACCAAAAAAGCAGTGTTAATGCTTGGCAATGATACTAACATCCTGCAGCGAGTGCAGGGGACAGATGGTGCTCTAGGAAACACCTTACTTAACTCAGAGCTCCCACTGGTGTCTTTGCTTCCCACAAAGCTTCATCTCATGGTAAACCACCACCATTTAGACAGGTGCTTACAGCTTGTTTCAAGCACACAGTCAGCCCCACATGTCATTCAGGCAGAAATGCAGGACATTTGTCCCATTTTTTCCAAACAGTCCAGCTAACTCAGCCTAAGTGTACTGTCAATTAGAAGAGCAAGATCCGGCCAGCACTACAGTCAGAGCAAACAGATTAAGATAAACTAATGCCAGATTTGATACTGCAGATGCCTAATTATGACAGGCCTGCCTGGTTTTAGTACAAACCCATTGATAAGCACGGTGAACTATTCAAGTGATTACCCTATGCTGGGCTCCATGTTGTAAATGATTGGTGTTATTAGTATCTAAACTGGCTAATTTGAAACTAACAATTATATCTTATTGCTCCGGTGCTATTTAGTTACATTTAGCCCCCACAAAATAAAAATCCTGAGAGCAGGTTGGCCACACCAAAATAAAACCTAAAATGTAACATTTGATGAACTGACAGCAACAAAGGATGCACTAGTCAGAAGACTCTTCTCATCATATTAGGTCCTTTGCCAATACAGACACTAACATCAACAGGAACACCAGTGAGATTGAAGCTCAAATCCTTCACTACTTCCTCATGATACACTCTTCTTATCTGCTGGAGTACAGCAGCAACCATGACAGCTTTAAGCAATACAAAGAAGTTCTGTTACTAGGTTGCTAGATAGAAGCAACATGCAGTAAAACCAGTTTCTGCAGTATGCCCTCCTCTCTGTCCCCAACTCTCCTGCAAGTGAAAACAAGCCCTAGAACTACCTTATTTTGCAGGCAAGTTGTTGGGTATTAGAAGTACAAGCAATCTATGCTCAGCATGCCAGCTTCTAGCATGTCCCTAGGTCCATCTGTGAAGCTACACCCTTGTACTTGGCTGACACTGTCAGAGAGCTGTTCTGGAATAGGAACTACAGCACATTGATTGAAACCTGCTTTTCCTTGAACACTGACTTCTCTTCCAAGTCAAATACCAAATCTAAATGCAGATCAGGCAAGAGTAAGGGCTGCCCATCAGTGATCGGGTAGTATTCCTACTGCAACTCCAGCCCATATAATTAAGTGATCATGATTTATGACCTGTGTAAGCAGAACACAGGGAAAACCAACTCCCTTTGGAAATCTAGAACCAGATCTCAAATCCCATCCACCCAAAGCACTAGTCTGTTTGGGGTACAGGTGCTTCCCCAGTGATGCTATAAACTTCACTGTGGTATTGCATAGGTAGAGGCATCGGCCTGCAAATAGCAAAGGTGCGTTGTTTGTCTTTGCTGGTTGCAACAATTATACTACACTGATATTGATGCCTATTAGATTTGGATACTGGCATACTTGTCTCACTGACACAGCAGTCTCCTATTCAGGACAATCTCATGTTTCTTCCTGCTTCAAAGGTCTGAAAAAACTCAGAACACCAGAAGCTTGGATTTAAGAGGCATTTGCTCAGATCTCACTCACTAAAAAGAAGTCCTAGAAAGGAGACTGTGGATGTGCAGACTTTAGTTTATATATACACCTCAACTGCAGTATTCAAAATCCTTGTGATTTTCATTTCCCAGTTTTCATTCCCAACTGTTACTTGCTAATACCACAGGGGAATGCTACAGTAATAAACCTTAGAGTCCAAATTAGAACTCTTTAGGAAGCTGCCTAATCACAATTTTATTTAGTTTATGTAAGTGTAAACAGACTGCTTAAAGTTACTTCTTTGTTTTGTATGGGTTGAAAAGTTTCTTTCATGTCTGTGCTTTAACTTAGACACTCATCAGACCATCATGTACTAGCTTAAAACAGTCTCATCTTACCTTGGGATTAGATTGGAGAGGAGTGTTGTACCTGATAAAAGATTTTATTACTCCATTTCTCCCCACAGAGCTTGGCGTCATGAGGAGCTGGTTCTTCTGCACAGTGTGCAAAAACGTTTTGAAAGGACGTACAACCTATGAGAGCAAAGCCAAAAATGATCCTCAGGAGCGTGAGTATGAAGCAGGTCTTGGTGAAGTACATCAGGGTTACAAGGATCTTACTTTGCTGGCTGGAAAGGTAGGGGACGGGGTTTTTCTTCTTGGAGGAGAAAGCCCTCCATCTTCTGCCTGCTGATTGTCATAGCGTTCATCCACAGCTCTTTTGTAACTTGGCTTTCTCCTGTGAGAAAAATGCAGTCCATCACACATGGCAAATCCTCCTGATTGTCTCAAAGTCAGGTTTAAAAAAAGGTCATAAAACTATCCTAGCTTAAAAGATATTTCATTGTGTATACACAAGTAGGTATTAAATAAAAAATTTCTAATGTGATAGAAGATACAAATTAAATCCTCTTTTCATAGAGGCAGAGGAAACTTACTGCAAAAGTTTCACAGCCACAAAACACTGAAGCCATTTAACAATGTTCAGCATTGAACCTGCTTTGAACTGAACTACAGATCTCCAGAGGCACCTTCCAACCAGAATGATTCTACGAACATACCTGGCACTCTGGGGTGGTTCCTGGGTCTCCCCATTCTTATTTAAGTTGCTTTCTGAAAAAAAACCAAACCAACAGTTACACTGCTAATTCTAGCAGAAAAAAAAAATCCCTTCCAACCCAGCTTTGAAAGCAGACAACAGATTTAGCAGCTCACTAAATAGCAAAAAAATCTGCCATGAATTATGCACAGCAGGACTTTTCTTGCTTTCAGCAAGCAACTGCACAGTGCCATTCAAACCTAGAAATACAAAATAAAGCAAAGCTGTCTAAAGTAATCTGTGGTATGCAGTTTGCACTAATGCAATGCTATTGTGTTCTGCACAGATACAGAGCGACTGCTTGCTTCAGAAACAGGGTTCAACTAGGTCTCCCAGGGAGAACATGCATCCCTCCATCTTCATTACATCTGTTTCCATGTGCTTCCCAGGGTGGAAAATAACTCCAGCACAGAATTTCCTAACTGTTAATCTCTTCAAACAAATCCTTGCTTGTCAAAGGTTAGTCTTTCAAACTGGGCTGTCAAATTAACTAGCCAATCTTTCAAACCTCCCAGTCAGCCTCCCAACAAAGTGACAATTTTTTAAAATTCTGCCACAAAAATTGTCTGGAAGCTACCGTTGTTGCTCGTCTCCTGCAGCTGTTCATTTCTGCTGATAGTTCGAGAGCGAAGGGACATTTGTGGACTTTGAGGACTCTGTAGGAAAAGCAAATGGGTTTCAGCACAATTCTCGCACAGAAACAGCCAATTACTGTTTCAAATCATTATGTCATTCTGACAAGGACACTCTCTGCAATATTACCAGAGACTGCAAAACCACATACATAGTATAAAGTATTGGTGGCAGTACCCAGAGTGAAGTCCTAACCTCCAGCTGCGAAAAATACCTCAGGACACCATCTTGGTAAATTCCTTGATGTCATGTCATCACTAGAAGCAGGGATGTTAACAGAACACAAGTATCTGCAACAAGGGATGCACTGCTTAAACTGAACTCATAAACTATTAAGGACAAAAGCATTTCAAGTTGGAAATCTGTTTATGCTTGCTGGACTTTTGGCAAGAGTCAGGCACCGCTTATTTTACTTAGCAGTGATGAATGGACAGAGAGACAGCAAACAGCTCATTGCCTTGATTTATCTGTTTCTGTTATGAATGTGACAGGCATTGCTATTTGCCACCTTTGCACTTAGACCGATAAAAAATTACTTCTGTTGTGATAATGGTTTTATATGCCTGCAAGAGAGCTGGCAATGGCTTTTGAAATCTGCACTCTGCTAGCAATGCAAGCATTAACTCCACTCCCCAAACCCATGTTGGCCAGCATGTACGCTGGCAGACACAAAGGAGTTGGGAAGAGAATAAAAAAGAAGTATGGAAACTTTATCCTCCCCAAATGCTTCTGTAGGGTCTTATCCTAAGGCTAGGTATAGGAAGCATCTTGTAGCGCAGCAGAATGACATAGATCTAATTCATTCGAGATCAGGCCTGAGAAGAATCTGACCTTTAAGTAACAGCATGTATACAGGTACTGTCTTTACATGTTCCCATAGACAAAGATGTTTTCTAGTTTGAGAAGGTTGCTGAGTCACATTTTCACGCTGCTCACAGCTCCCAGAGGAAGTCTCTGGCAGAAACCAAACCACATTTGGTTTGCCAAGAAAACTGCTGATAGATAGAAAGACAGATAGATAGATAGACAGAAAGACATACAAACAGAAAGAAAGAAAGGGGGCGGTAACCTGGTGACATAGGCTAAGAATGGGACAGGCTACAAGGTCCCACTCCCAACAGCAGCAGTATAGAAATAAAAGATGAGGATCAAGGGTAGATCAAATACACTACATGGACTAGACTGTATTTATAAATTCATCAGGGTACAGAAACAAAAGATAAGAGTCCTCTATTCACAGATCTGCAAAGCAGTCTGTCAATTTTTCCTCTTCTCGCCGTTTTCCCTTTAAGCTTTTCTACAGTTCTAACTCAGGCAGCTAAAAATCCAAAGGCACTAGAAAAACTGAGTTTATTTGAACTTTTGCAGATCTACTGACAAGCACAGCCATAAAAGCACGTATAAACCTGTCCTTGTTTACAGAAGTGCTTAAGGCCACAGAACTCCGCTCCATTAATTCAGTCTTTGCTTATTGAAAATTATTCTAGACAAAACACTGACATAATCCTGGGGTTTCTTCCTCAGGAGGGCAGTGAGAATTGTGGAGGGATATGTTTTGACCTTAATGATATTTACAAATTTCTGTGGTTGTCTGAAGACAAACTGACAAGCTTTGAATAATCTGCAGGACTAATGAAAAGGTCAAAAGAAGCTTTAAAAATACAGAAATAGTAATAGCGTACAAACTGTGTCCAACTGAAAAAACTTCCCTGAACTGTAAGAAGGTTATTTATCCGTATAGATTCAGGATTGAATTTTCATACAACTGATCTCTAGCCAGAGGCTAAGAAGCAAGAGCCAGAAAGCAGGACTTGACTCTGAATGCCAGTGATACCAAGGTCAGTATTCAGTGCTGGTATGCATCAACCCACCATTTACATTTACATCTATTTATGCTAAATGACAGAGAGAATGCTATTTTGTAGTCAAAGCTAGCCTTGGCTTTGAAAGCACCTGAGATTGTAACACCATACTGACAGAATACCTCTACTTGCATCCAAAATAAGCCTTGGGTCACATGTGCTTATTTTCCAAAGAAAACTTGACTGGGTTTTGTTTTGCCAATTTTGGAACATTGTGATTAAAACAGACTTGACAATCTAGAATTTATCTAGTCTGTGTATCAGAACCAGGGAGGCTATGTATAGGCTCATGCATGTATGCGAGCCAAGTGCTCTATGCCTTCTCTATTCAAGTGCTATGCAGCCCGTTGACCAAATCCAGCGATCTGTGGCCAGAGCTCCTTAACTCCCCAATAACAAATGAGAGGTGTTTTCAACACATTTTGCTTGCAAGTCCACACAAACAGAAATGCTTTTAAATCTCTCCTCAAATCTTACCAACTTGGAGGGGGTACAAGGTCCAGGAGGAGGCCTAGAAAAAAAAAAATAAAGAAAAAAGGCATCCATGTTTAATAACATCAAGGAAACTGGGAAGCCACTTGTTATCTGCAAGCAGTGCATTTTATACCAAGAATGTCACTGTAAAAAAGTCCTCCAAGCAGGATATTAAGGATAAAGAAATATCTTAAAGTAGTCTCACCCAGTTTTGACAACTGTTTCTTCATCCTCTGGTGCCTCTCCAGAGCTGGAGACTGCAGGAAAAGAAAAAAATGCCAGAGCTATAACGTACAGGTGCAGGCCAAGACTCTTTGTAGGAGCAAAGTTCACTCATGACTGTTATAGAGGCATTTGCTCTGCCTCCTGGGTTACTGCCTACAATTCAAATGCATGCTGCTACAAGAAAGGGCAGCTGAATATACCTAAGTAGCACTAGAGAAAATGCTGCCTGCAATTTTAATATAAGAAAACAGATGTTTTCAATTATAGATGAGTTCTAAGTAATATTCAATGAGTTTACATTAAGAGTGACTAGGTTTGGACTCAGACTCATTTTGCAGGGCCACATCCAAGTATTAGCAGTATTTAAAAACAGCATTATTTACAGTCCCAGTGCTGCTTCCTGCTAAGCATTCCAGCTGGTTCAATGGTAGCTAGCTTTTAAGTACCATCACAGCTGGGAACTGCTGTTAATAATTAAGGCAGCAATGCAGCTTCAGCCTGGGTGGAGTACACAAGGGCAAACTTTGCACAGGGGAAGCATGCAGTCTGCTCCCATACTTCCATCGCGGGTGTTATCGAGGAAAGCACAAACACACGTGCTGTGTACACAGATCCAGTGCAAGATCTGCTGCATCAGAGGCACAGCAGATACACTCTGCAGTCAATTAACGTGCTTTGGGCTTTTGGACATTCACCAGCTCAACTGGAGCTGCCTGAAACATCTCAGTTCCTCTCCTTACACCTAGAAATTTTGACTAGGTAGAAGAACAGTCATGTCAAGTAGCGCAAAGGGAAGAAATAAAGCCTTCCTTAAACCTCCCAGGTAATCCAGATCCAGACAATATGGACTGATCATTTAAACTAGGTAGATAAAGCTATTTCAGTGCCTCTTCGAAGTTACAGATGAGGAGACTTCCCTACAGTTTCATTTTTTACTGAGGGACCTCTCAACACTGCACTTAGAAACTTACACAGCACTCCACACTACCCTGTTACCGGCACAGGAAATCCTCTACAGTGCTCTGGTTCTGGAAAAACATTCAACTAGAACAGTTAAGTTGGTATGGAAAAAAAATACTACAGTGCTTGTCCAAACATATCCTTCTACAGCAAAAATAGGATAACTCTTCAAGAAAAGTCAGTTTTATACAGCACAAATCCCACAAAGCTAGAACACTGCAGATGAACACATTACAGTAATGTTATTTCAGCTGTATTAGTTCTCCCTTCAAACAAAAAAGTATGCTGTGCAAAAGAGCCAATCTCTCCTCAACATCAAATTGTGTGGAAGAGGTTCTCCTGCATCATCTGCATTTCAGGAGCCATTTACTAATCCACCACTTACTAGCCACTTCTTTCCCTCAGCTTGAAAAAAGTGATGCTATATCCATCACTGTTCTGCACCAAATCCAATGCTTGCGTTCCAGTAGCACAGAAGAATATTTAAATCAGTTTATCCTTCACTGAAGTTACTCTAGAACTAGCAGCCAGATTTTGCTTAGGGCAGTGCATCTGTGATAGCTACCTCATTTCCCAGAAAACATGCAGGCCTTTGTAAGAGCCTATACCCCTCTTAAGCAGCCACCAGCAAAAACAAACCCCGTTCGCCAGCTTCCTCCTTAGCTTTGCAAGCTACACCACAGAAACTCAGAGACATTAAGGTTGTTCTCCCAGATGATTTACAAGGCTGAATTCACAGGCCACAAACTAGCAGTTACCTGGGTTTCTCTACTTACATAGGTCTCTAGAAAGCCAGTTAGAACATCCACAATTAATTGCAGTTTGGCTAGCCTAGGAGGATCAGCTGCTACACCCAAAGTGAAGAACTAACTCCGTAACATTGTTTTCCTTCAGCAGCAAAAAGCAGTACATCGACAAAAAGAGCAGGAAAGGTGCAAAGCAAATTCATCTGGTGACATCCAATCTTACCATCCATGCGACTGGAGGACACAGATGACTTCTGAGCTGCCTTCCTCTTGACCATTCCCCTGGCGACAGATTTCCGCATCATACTTTCCCTCTTGCTGGCTAGTGAGTATTTCTCTGCCAGGGAGGTTCTGTGAGTCATGGAAGTTTTACCCATCAGACTCCTGCGCACTGAGCGACGGCTCAGCCTGGAGCCTGTCGGAGTCCCTGGGCTATCCCTTATGTGCTGGGAAAGCTCCTTATCAGACCCCTCTTGTACCTCAGCAGAGTCATCTACCTCCTCCAGCCTAGGCCCTTCACTTAAAACAACTGTAGTATTAGCTGCCTTTGCTGTCTTCAGCTGGGACATAGCCTCGCTTTCTCCGGCATCGTTTGCCTCGGGGGTATGAGGGATCATCAGCTCAAAGGCTGTGGGCACAGGCAGTGATTTGGCAACACTGCTTTCCCTGGGAGAACCATCATCTGAGCTCAAGACAAAGGTCATGGAGAGCTTCTCTGCTGCTTTAGATGCACTCTTCTGGACGTGTAGCTCAGTGATAATGTGATCACTGACATCAGCTTCTACTAAGGGAACCTTCCCTTCTACTTGCTGGACAGGAGGGGTCTCAGGAAGGACCTGGGAGCTTTTAGCAGATGTTGCAGCCTGGGATCTTGTCACACGTTGAGGTGGACAGATTTCTTTGGCCTCAGCCCTGATTAGTTCCAGGTTTTCTTTATTCCGGAGTCTTTGAGAGTATCGTATGGAGGGTACCACCTTGACACTGCTATTCCTCCTTCTAGATAACCTAACAACAGAAACAGCATATTAGACTGGAACTGAATTCCAGGATAGACCGAAGCCCTTCTGCCCACAAACGAGAACTCGCAGACAGCAAAGCTAAAACACGTGGGACGAGCCCCTCTAAGAGCTTAACACTCAGAGAGCTGCAGAAAGCGGCTCACACAGACAGTAGCAAGTGTACATCATTGCTTTAGAGCAGAAGAGATAACTAAAGAAAGGGAAACAGAGACATAAAAGGGAACCGAGTGAGGAAGACCAGTGCCTTTCAAGAGGCCCCCTGGGCTGGGCCTTTAACCAGGCTGGAGGAGGGAACGCCAGGGCACAGGCTTCGCGGGAATCACCCTGCGGCCTCCTGCAGCGGGATTTTCAGCCTCCCGCCAGCTCCCTCCCTCCTCCAGGCGCTGAGAGGACCGCTCGGCTCCACCAGCCGCCGGCCCGGCCTCTCCCCAACGCGGCGCTGTCCGGGCTCTGGCCCCCCCCGCCGTCCACCCCGGGAGGGCCCCGGCGGGCCTACCTCTTCCTGCTCGGCTCCTGGTTCTCCTCCTGCAGGGCGGAAAGGCGCTTCCTCCGCTGCCGGTTCTTCTGCGACGGCGTCTTGGGCATCAGCTCCGGCTCGTCGCTGTAGTGGCTGCGAGAGGAAGAGGAGAGGCGAAGGGGGGTGTCAGCGCGGGGAGCGGCCGGTACCGGCCCGGTGCGGGACCGGCGGGGGTCGGTACCTGCTGAACATCCTGGCCGCCTCCTCACGGATCTCCTTCAGCCACACTAGGTCGGTCTCGTCCACCTGCCGCAGGAACTCCGCCAGCCGCCTGTTGCATACCGCCGGCAGCTGCGCCGGGCCCGCCGCCGCCGCCATCATCGCCTCAGCCGACCCTGCCCCAACCGCCCGCCCGCGCGCGCGCGCACCCCCGACCCAGCCCCACCGCCCGCCTGGAATTCAAACCTAGTGCCCGCCTTCCGCCCTGCCGACGTCACCGCCCCGCCAGCCTATCATCGCCGCGCCGCGCCGCACCGCCCCCGCCAGCCCGCCCTTCCCCATTGGCTGCGAGGCGACCACGGGAGCACTCAAAATCGGCTCCCCTCTGCTCGCCGACCTCTGTGGCCGCGGAGGACTTAGCTTGGAAGGCGGGGCTTGAAGGGGCAGGCAAATAGGCTGCGGGGCTTTAACGGCGGGGGAGTGATGGACGTGGGTCGTGGCCAATAAGAGTCCCCATCTCGGGGCGCGCGCGCCGTGATTGGTAGAGGCCGGGATGATGGGGGGAGAGGGAAGCTGTGTTCGCGGGGGCGCGGCGGGCTCTCGGTCGGTGCTGGTACTGGAGCGGGTCTGGGGCCCGCTCTGCCCTAGGGGAGGCAGGTGGAGAGGCCTGGGGGTCCTTCCGCGCCTCAGCTACGGCCTTGCGCCTGCCTGGGGTGCAGCGCTGAGGCCTGGCCCGCCCTAGCACCCCGCTCTGAGGCTGGAGGCGGGCCTGGGGCCTCCCCGGGTGCCTGCCAGCCTTCACCGCTCCCTTTGTGTTTCAGGCAGGGCTATGGCAGAGGCTGGCGGTCCCACACAGCTGCTGGAGGTGTGCGGGCAGAGGCTCTCGCGGTTCCTCCATGATGCCGAGCACAAGCACTTGGCCTGGCTGCGGGAGGTGGAGGAGCAGGGCATGAGGATGCTGGATAGGTAGGGGCTGCCCTCAGGGGGACCTCTCCATCCCCCAGGGAGCTGGCTGGTCTCAAAATGCCTCCAGCCCCTGTGAGCCTAAGGCCGGGTGGGCTCCCAGCTGCTTGGGGGCCAGCCCCAGTGCCAGGCCTGGTGGGACTTGGGTTTCGCAGCTGTGCGACTGTGATTTGACATAGCTGTGGCTTTGGCAGCTCCGTTTGGGCCTTGGTGCCAGGTGGCTGGCATGCTTCACTCCCTTGTTTCTTACCCAGCACTCATCCTTTTCAATGAGCAGCCCTTGTTTTGTGGGTGGGATTTGTTTTGGGGGGGGGGGGGGGGGAGCAATCTCTGCCTTCCGCATTTGTCTGCTCAACAGCAACTTTGGGGCTGGACCTGAATTAATGCCCAAAACACCTTCACAGAGGAGGCGTCCCAAGAAAAGGCAGTCCTCCTGCCTGAAAGATGAGCATAAGGAGCCAAACAGGAGGAGGTAGGTGAGCCGGTTTGTTCTGGCTCTGCCACACAGTGTTTAAGAATGAAACAAAGTAGTAACTGTTTCCACATACACAAGAACATAAAATAGCTGCTTTATTCCCCGAGTTAGCAAATACATTTAAAAGGGCATGTCAAGATCAATCAATGTTCTGATTCTTGTGAAAGTTTGGGATAGAGTTGGCTGGCTTCCTTCACTTTAATTTTTGTTTTATCTTTTTTCTGGTTAGAAACAAAGAATAATAAATATTCTATTTTCTTGTCTGCTTGGATTTTGTTTTCGGCCTGAGGTCGCTACCGGTGTTCACTCCCTAAACCTTTGTACTGGTGCCTGAGAGAACCTGAGAACAGAACTTGCTATGAGTGACGTGCAGAAATGGCACATCCACAGTTGTTTGAACTGGCAGGCAGAAAGGCTCAAAGGGACTAGCGGTGAAACTGAAGTGGAAATTCCAAGTGATTTGCTTAGAACTGACTGTACTTGAGGTTTTTAAAACCAGTCCTAAATAGACAACAGTTGCCTGCAAACAGATGCCGAGGCAGGATGGTGTAGGGCATGATTTAATTGCATGTGTAGTCAGGGATGGCTGTGATGCTAATTAACTTCCTTGATGTCACTGCTTCATGGTAGCTGACTGTGTATCTGCTCTCAGCTGGTGCTCAGCGGCAAGGTGGTTAAGGTAACCTTCCCTTCAGAGAAGCATATGCTGTGAGCTCACACTGACAGTTGCTGTAGTGTGACCCAAACCTCGTCTCTGGGCACGCAGTAGTAAACTGTTTATGCATTGAGGCACTTAAATTTTGATAACCATGGTGAAAAACCCACAGAAGTTGGACAGGAAGAGGTAGAACTAAAAGACTGTCAGAAACCAGACATGGAGGATGGAGAGAACAGCAAGAATAGTAAGGAAGCGTGGGAAGTTCATGCATGTGTGTGGTGAAGGAGGGCAGGAGAAGAAAATGTTGCAGATCTAAATGGGAGAGCTCTTAAGACATGCTGTTAGTTTTCAGGTAGCAGCTGGATTGCTCCACTGAAGAAGACAGGTCTTGCATGTATTTTTCCTCATTTAAACCTAGTTTTGAGAAAGATCTGCTGATGTGACAAAATGTGTGGGTAGGCGGTCATTTGTCAACAGGAAGTTCACACTGCAGTTCAGCCTGTTGTGCTCCATCCTGTAGGGTCAGGCTATTGTTGTTTTTCTTGCCTGTTTTTCTCAGTGTGTATTTTAAAACCCATTTCTTAGTGTATTGTTAGTTACACATTTCCCAAATAGTAGTCTTTTTTGCTAATTCTAGCAAAAAGTCCCCTTTCTTGCTAGACATCAGAATGAGAAATTAAGAGAACGAGGCTGGAAGAAGGGCAGAGGGTATCAACTTGGAATACTGGCAGTAGGACAAGCCACTGCTTGCTGGTGGTCATGCACCAGGGGCTGTAAAACCTTGTTCTTGCACCGTGGTGGGTTTTCTTAGCTGCCTTTAGCTGTTGCGCGCTTCCATGTTAGCTTTCCATTTCATCTTTGTCTCCAATCTCCACCCTTTACCTGGCTACCTCTGGGTCACTTTGGCATCGGAAGCTGCCTTTCTTTGGACAGCCAAAGTTGTCCTTTGGTTTTGGATTCGTCCACCTCAACTTGCTGATCAAGTGTGTGGCTCCATCCTCTCATGCCAGGTTACCTAATGCAGAAAAGAGGATTTCACTGCCAAAGTTCCCCAAGCCTCTGCATAGTGGGTCAGGTTTAAATGAAGCAATAGAGCTATACACAGTTACTGTACCAGATAATATTTCTCTTAAATAACAGTAATTCAAAGAATTTGTGAGTCCTAACTGTACAGGTATTTTTTTGTTGCCTTCCTCAGGATTATGCTGTCAGGTACCATGTGTGTAGTGGCATTGCTGTGTTTCCCAGCCTGTTCACAAACTCTGTGTTTAGAGCTGTGGATGTTTTTCAGTGCTCGGGTTCCTGCCTCCCCAGTGCTCAGGATGTGTTTTATCTGAGTAGCCTGCCAGAGAGCAGCAGAGCCTTCTGTTTCTAGCTGGGATCTTGTACATATCTACAGGGGAGGCTTCCACACGGAGTTGATCATGGGAGACTGCAATATCTTCCATCCAAAATCCCTCCCTGTGTGGATGTCTGTACTTTGCTCAAGGCAAACAGAGTGGAGTTGGTTGTACCAGTATGACTTTACTGTCCCCTGGTGTCAGCTCTGCCTGGGGCTGTGGGTTAGTGTCAGCAAACAGCAATGAGTGTCCTGGTACCTCAGCTGCTGCAGTTTGTGTGCATAAAATACAACCTTTATTTGTGAGTCAACCCAATATGCCAGGCTGATAGCTGGGAGGGTTGCAGTGAGGGGTATGTGCCCTGCATTCCTGCCTATGGTAGAGAGTGATAACATCCAGCAAAAAAACATCCTGCAGCAGCAGAGAGCAGTAAGCAGTAATTTCTAAATTGTTCCAGCTAAATCTGCCAGAGTGTATCTGCGAGCTTGCAAGGTTCAGCTCCTGCATTTCACCAGTGATAAGAGTTGGGTTGCAAGGGGGACTGGTGGAGGGAAGAAGCCTGCAGGTTCACTTCAAAAGTTGTTGTCTGCTTTTTTTTCCTCTAAAAATCATTTGGGAGTGGGAGACTTCCTCATCACTTCATTTAAAATTGCTTTTATTTAAGGTTGTCCAGAAGGAGAAGCAGCATCAAGCCAAGTTCCCAAAGGCACTACAGCAAAGAGCAACCCCGGAACCCTGGCTGTCAGGGGGAAGAGAAGTCTATGCCCAACTGTGCAGTGAGGTCTCAGGCCAGTGTTGAAACCAAGCTCCCAGCACTGACTGGGAAATGGCCGGCAGAAGGACAAGGTCCTGTGGTGCAGACGGATTGTCAGGACTGCCCTCAGGGTGCCGATAGCAGTGATGCAGCCTGTAAGGCTGTTACAGGGGAGCAGCTGCCCAAGGGGGGTGCAGCCACTGAGCTGCATGATATGTCTTCTGTCCCTGCTGGCCAGACAGCAAGGGAGGGGGAGGAGGCCCCCAAGAGAAGAGCAAGTACATCCACTCCCAAGGCTGCTAGAGGTGGAGATCCTGCCATGCTCCAAGGAGATCAGTCTCTTCAAGGCCTCGAAAAGGTGCTTTTCCAGGACTCTGACAGCAAAATGACTACAGTGAGATCCAAAACACACCGTTGCTCTGGATGCCAAAGCTTTGTGGGTGGCCCCCACAAGGGCCATAGGGCCTCCTTGGCAGAAAAATATTCACTGGCCAGCAAAAGAGAGAGCATGATCCGGAGGTCTATCAGCAGGGCCATTTCGAAGAAGGCAGCAGCGCAAGAATCATCCTCTGCCTCCAGCAGAGTGAGCTGTAAGTTTCTTTCAGTTGTCGAGTGCATTCATTTGGCTAAATCAGCTTCTTGGCTTTGGTGTGGGGAGTAAGCAGCTGTGGAGCTGCTCATCTGTATTAACTCTGCCTCTGACTCCTCTTAGTCTCCTTGTCAATGGGCCTTGTGGCTTCCACCCATTTGGGGACCAATCTTCGGGTCCTTATCCACTGTCGGACCAAGTCTCAGGCTGTGTTTTGCTGCAGCAGATGAAGGAAGTGTCTGCTGGGACATAGGCACAGGGATTGGAGGTTGGGTTACATAGGTTGTGGATGGGCGAAAAAAAAACAAGAGCGAAAAGGAAAATGCGGTCTGGCTGGTTCTAGCCATGCGTGCGGCTTGGCCGATCAGAAGAGGCTGTCGCATTCCCTGGGGAGGGGCTTTAAAGTTGTGTGTCTTCTGCCAACTCTCCAAAAAATCTATAGGAACTGAATGTCTCCACCCCCTGAAATTTGGCCGAAACTGGCAGAGGAACTTAAATGCTTTTTGGGTGAAGATAGAGTGGATGGACTGAGAATCAAATAGCACAGTCATTGGAGGAAACAAGATTCAGAAATCCAGGCTATTCCTGGTAGCACTAAACTCTTCATATCCTCTGTTCTCACTACTCCTCGGAAGGTTTTGCTATTTGGACTTTCTAAAAATCATTGCTCCTGAAGTCAGATTGGCTTCTAATAAAGCACCGAGGCCTTTGGTATTTAGTTTTGTCAGCTTTGAGTCATGCTGTAGCTAGGCATTTGTTATAACACTTTCAGCTAAGTGGTGTTATGGGGGGAATGAAATCAGCCTAAATCCAGCAAATCTCTGCATAAAACCATGTAGGGAGGCAGGAGCTGAAGTCAATTGACTGGGAAATGCTATCTCTGACACAGGCAAGAGCATGTTTGTGCAGCTGGAGCAGTCTGCAGGCAGAGGAGCTGCTGCTTCAGTTCTCTGCCTTCCCAGCCTACACCAGTTTGTCAGTGACACTTGAGGGAGGTGGTAGTGCTGGTGTGGAAAGCTGAGATGAGCAGTCAGCGTGTTCCCTGGGAGGAAAGCCTGCACAGAGACCTGAGCTCTACCACACACACATTGCTGCTGTTGGGAAGCCTCAGAATGAAATCCCCAAGCTAGCTTATGTTTTTTCTCCTCCAGGTCAAAGCTCTTTGGAGGTTTTTGTGGAAGAAGATGTGACCAGCAGCATGAGGTGAGGCTACCATGTAAAGCAGGCGGGAGGAAACCACAGAAAACCCTACAGGGAAGCTATATGGGTCACTTTTGTCTTAGAGATATAGGACTGGTTTTGTAACAGACTGTTTAGGTGATGATGTCACCTGGGGCTGGTTGATACTTCAAAGTTTATGCTGTTCAGGCACAGCCCTTTCTTTTCAGAAGTATGTTCAGGGTACAGTGAGGTTAAGCACTGCATTGGGGGGGTGTCCAGCCTATGCCATAAGGCTTGAGAGGCTGCCAGCCATTGCTCTGCCTGGTGTTGGCTGGCATCATGTCAATTATGTCCTGGGACTCCTGGCTGTAACCAGCCTCCAAATGCCTGGTGGTGCTGGAGGTCAGTCAGCTGTGGTCTGACCTAAAAGGTGGACAGGTAAGACTCAGCCTAAGACTCACAGAGCTTCCTTTTTACCTGCTGTGTGGATGTTTTGCAGAAGGGGACAAAGTTTGTCAGTGTGTTGTTCAGTAATGCAATGGAATGGTCTATCAGAAGAATTTACAGCTCCACCTCTGTGTGTCCTGGCTAAAACAGGCTTGTGCCTCTGGATGTGCTTAGATTTATCTGCACTTCCCTTGGGGTCCCATATGCTGGCTCCATCATACTTTTATCACCTGTAACTCACCCTTCAGGGAGTGGAAATAATTAAAATAGCTTTTCTTTAACAGACCTGGACTGGAACTGAATCCCCCAAGTGAAAAGGTAAGTTCTAAAGAACAACCTACAAACTATCTGTCCAGACATCATCTTGCCTGAATTGATACCTTTTGCTGAATGTTGCCACTGGAAGCAGGGAATGTGGCCAAGGATCATTCTGTCACATTCCTTCCAGCTCAGCGAAGGCGCTGCTGAGTTGGACAGTGCTGCCCTTCTAATGCTTAGGCAGCTAGTTAAGCCGGTTGGCTTTCTGGCTCCAGAGACATTTTGTGCCTTGATAAGGCCTCTTCAAGATGGAGTTTTTGGAGGTGCTTGGCCAGGTTCCCAGGAGTCAGCAAGCTTTTGCCTGGCAGCTGGGCATGATAATTGACTGTGTGTATTCTTAGCCTGTCTCTGTTGCGTGGCTGGTTTGAGCTACAAAAATCAGGAGGGCAGTTCACATTAATGTGCTTTCCTTGGCCACTGAGGCTACATATGCAGCAAGCTAGCATAAGCCTGCAGTGCTAGCAGGACAAAGAAACCCACCCCCTCCTTTGAGCTGGCAAAAACATCTTGTGTGGTTGTGCTGTGAATGAGCTGAGGTGAAAACTAGCCCAGCAGAGAGAGGGGTGGGCTCTGCTTCAGAACAGCTTCCTGGTGCTGTTGTGAAGCAGCAGCAGTAGCAGGAATGGGCAGGTGGCTCTGCTCTGGGTCATGGTGGTGGTAGCTTAGCAGGTGGGGGAAAGCACGGCCTGTGTGCAGGCAGCTAGGATGCTGTACTGCAGCAACTTTTTTGCTTGTCCTCCTGTGAATATACCATAATGGTACTTAAAGTGCCTAATGACCTTGTAACCTGAAACACTTTACAGGGACTTGTCTTTCAGGATTGGAATATCTGTAGTTTGAAAATTGGTGTCTCCAAGGTGTGTAGAAGATGCCTGTCATTCTCAAGGCACTTTGACTTTGGAGTCCAGGTTCAGTAAAGCTCCTGCTCTGGTTGAGAAGTGCTGGGCAACTGTCCTTCCTACAGAGGCTGGTGTTTCATGAGGAGACCCCTTGTTACTGAAACGAGCCAGTCAGTGTCCTTGCAGCACAGCTCTAGTTGATAGAGAAGCAGACCCTAACCTAGCAGTTGGATTGCAGTTGGAAGTGACTGGCTTTTTCAGGGCAGCAGACCCATGGTAGCCTTGTTCTTCGGAGCAACTGTGCTAAGAGAGTGCTTGTTTCCTTTTCCTGCAGACTCCTGAAGATGTCCTCATTTCAAGCAAAAATATACAAGCTGCCAGCCCTCCAGCACAGCACTTATCTCCTCCTGAGCAGCAGACAGGGAACAATGAAGGTAACTTCGAGTTGGTCTTGCTTTTCTTGCATGAAGCCCTAAAGACACACAGACCAGGAAGTCAGCATGAGGGTTTGTGGAAAATCTGGGACTTGTGTTGAAACAAAACCACCTCTGACCAGTTAAGGTAATTTTTCAGATAAGCTTTTGATCTCCTGAAGAGGTGAGACGTGCACTTAGATAAGCAAGGACGTCTTGTAAGTGTGTTGAAGCCTTGAGACAAATGCTGTCCTGTCCAACTTCAGTCTGCATAATGAGTAAGTGGGGACACTTTGAAAGGAGATTGCTCTTAGACCTGGTATCTTCCACCTAGTGTAATATTCTGTTAAAGCACCTTGACATCCCTTTCCTCTGGGTTTACATTTTGTGAGGATTTACAGGTCCCATTTATTTACTGTGCCTCAAAGCAAGGAGAGGGATTGATTCAGGCTTTTTGTTTATCCCCTATGGGAACTGCAGGATCTGATAAGCAGCTGTAGCTGGAGTAGAGGGAAAAATAGCTGGAGGCCTTTTGGTGAGACAGGTTGTGCCTGTTCAGAAGGGTCTGTACAGGATGCATACTATAGCATGCTTCACAGTGTATGTCTACAACAATGATGTTCCAGGTAGCCACCCAGGCTTCTGGTTCCTCACTTTGGTTACGTGCTATGGGGCTCTGAGCACACGAGAGCTGAAGACAAGAACCAGAGCCCTGCAGGATGCCTTGCACATGGTCCTAATTACAGGTTTCTTCACAGGAAGCTGTGTAAATCCAAACAGTGAACCCCAGAATGAGAACCAGGAACAATGCCATTGTGCCAAGTCCCAGGAGGATCCCTCATGTATCTGGTATGAGACATTTCGAAGGAGGAGGAATGAGCCAGTGGTCTGGAAGGACTCAGGCCTGGTCTTTTAAGTAATCTGTTTTAAAAAGCTTTGTATGTTTGTTTCCCTACCTTTCCCCCCACTTCCGATGTAGTTTTGAAATCTTCTTTGGCCAAATCCTGACTCCTGGGAGTTCCTTGTGACTTCTTGAGCCCTGTTTTGGTCTGGGACCCAGGTCTGGCTTGGGAAGCAGACACATGACTTCATGCACAAACCAGGAAAGGTGACTAAGATAGCACAGATAACTCACAGCTTAGATGTGAATCTGAGTGGCTCATAAGGGGGTGGTCCGGGAGTAGTTTCAGAAGGCAATGTGAGTTGGTGACAGACCTCTTTATTTTTATCTTGTGCAAGTGTCTGGAATACCTGACTTGTTTCCTCACTGCTTGTATTACTGGTGTTTCACCTGAGATTTCAGCTGCTTTTAGCCTTGGCCCTCAGTCTCCTGTCCTGATTTTTCTGGGGTGAATTTGCTGTGGGTAGTGGATGGAAAGGGGAATAACCGTAACCTCTGTTCTCATGTGGATGCTTAGCACCGTGTGATGGGTCAGAATCTGCAGCCTTCATCAGGGCTGCTACTGGATTGGACTGATTGTGCAGTGAAGCAGTTCCCCCTGTTCTTCCCTGGAATTAGGGGAGGCAAGTGCAGTCTTTTCTGACACAGGTAAATCTGCGAGCATCCAAAGTATTTATAAAGTGCGTGAAACCCTGCCAGTGAGGTGAGCTGGGCTGGCTAGTTGCAGACACACAGGGGTTATGTCTATCTTGTGCTGTTAATACCAGATAGAACAAAGACTTCTTGCTTGGTGGGACTCAAAGTGGAGAATGAGAAGGAGTGTTATGTTGTACATCACTGCTCTGGAACCTGGATATTCCCCTACCAAGTTGTCGTGTGCCTTTCCTGTCCTCATTCAGGACTGGGTGGTGTGCCTGCCACAGGGCTGACTGAGTTCATAGGAGGCCCATGTCCTCTGGTAGCAGCGAGCAGGCAGAGGGAAGTGTGTAACAGCAAGTACATGCTTCTAGCAAGATTGGGGAGTGTGATGGTCACCTAATGTTCCTCTTGCTAATGCCATCAGGACAAGAAGCTGTAAACAAGCAATGGGAGTTATATGGAATGGGCAGCAGCCAGGGGGTCATGCCCTTTCCCCTTGGAATGACAAGCACAAGAATTCAGCAAACCAGGCTGCACCTTCTTCCTCTCCAGCTAGCAAGGTGAGTGGGTGGCATGGCCCTTTGCCTTCCTTTCCCTGGCAGGTACTGACATCCCTACATCTTCTCCTCTTAGGTTGTTAGACCGTTGAAAAACTTCCTGCAGGCTGTGCAGCAAAACCGTCTACTCACGAGCCCGGGGCGCACAGGACGTGGGGGTGTCATAAAGAACTTCATCAAACGCAATACTCCTACCCGACCTGATCTTAAGGTGCATCAGAGTCCCACCTTCCCTCGTGGGGCTGGAGGAGGGGATCAAGTTTGGGAGAGTGGCAGGAGGGACTGTTTACTTAGAAAAGCATAAACATATTCCTAGTTCTGTCTGCTACCATGGATCAGTGCAGGTCCTCATAGCAAACTGGCCTCACAATTCTACTTCAGCCTCCCCGGGGAAGGGACACTGGTTGGTGTCGCCTTGCATCACCTGTCCACACACTGTTATTGGCCAGGGCACTTTAGCACCAATTCTCAAACCTTCCTCATATGCAGAAATACCTCAGCTGCTCTATCTGTAGTCAGCAGAAACATTTTATATTCTGGGACTGTTGAACTGTAAGAAAGTGGGAAGCTTTTATCTTTGCAGTGGGAATCTACCCTTGTCTTGTGTAATTGGCTGCCAGGGGGCTGAAAGACAGGCAGTGTGGAGTCAGGCAATGGGTTATCTACCACAGGCTGGTAAGGAGGTGCAGCTAAGAACAGGGGCTGTGTGCTGTGAAGGGGCGTTCTAGTGTTAATTCCAAATCCTTAATCATTTTTTTATGTCTCTTCTCTACAGGGAGACTTTGTTGTAAGTAATGACACCCTTAACTGTGGGGGCTGGACGATTGTAATAGTTGTGCTGCTTGCCACATGGGCACTGATAGCTCTTTCCCCTCACACTGGCATCCGTGCAGCTCTCTGTCCAAATAAGTAAGCTGGCCACACCAGTGGTGAGGTGTCAGGATCTCTTTGCCGGTGTGTTCTGCTGGGGACCGGAACTGCTAGGAAACCTTCTGGCCTCTAAGCAAGACTACTTGTACTGTGCTCCTCCTCCCCTATTCTCCCAGCTGCTGGTGTAGGGAACGCTGTCCCAGGCAAGAAGCATTTGCTACAGGTGGTCACCTACAGCAGGAGTGTGCTGTTCCTTGCCTAAACCTATTCTCTACAGCCGAAGGACTGAGGTGTTTCCCTCCTATACCTGTGACTCTTCTGCTCTTATTAGTTAAATAAGCACTATTGCCAAACCTGCATTTTTTCTTCCCTGCTATTCACTTCCCATCCCAGCGTGTGGGTGAATATGACTCTGACAGTGACTTCTTTGTTTAGCAGGCTGCCTAGCCTCTAGCTGCCTGTGCACAAGCACCCTGAGGGTAGAAACAGGCCCCAGCAATTGGTACAGTCTGAACTCATCTCCCTTTAGGAGAAGGAGCGGCAGAGACTGGAAAGCCTCAGGAAGAAGCAGGAGGCTGAGGAACAGAGGAAAAAGAAAGTGGAGGAGGAAAGGAGACGGCGGCAGGCAGAAATGAAACAGTGAGTTGAGTCCCTAACCTTCTTCTCCTTCCTTGGTTCAGCACAGAATTGCCTTGGAGGCCTTTCCTGCCAGGCAGACAGCACTGCTGTACTGTGCTTTGTGCCTCCCACTTGGAAGGAGCATTTTGCAAGGTATGCTGACTGGGGACCCTGAGCCCAGCTGTTCATGGCTCATGGCAGTAAGAACTGCATTGATGCAAAGCACTGGCTAATGTCTGAAATTAATCCAGAAGTGAGCTGAGGCTAAGCTCAGCCAAAGCAAGTCAAGCAAAATAATGGTTTTCCCCAATTACCGTGACAAGTCCCGGTTCCCCCATCATCCTCTGTGCTAGAGCAGATAAAGCTAACAAGCCCCTCTTGCACACACACTGCCCAGGAAGAGGGAAGAGCGTCTGAGAAAGGCACTGCAGGCTCGGGAGCGGGTGGAACAAATGGAAGAAGAAAAAAAAAAGCGGATGGAGCAGAAGATTTTACAGAATGAAGAGAAGGTAAGAAGTCTGACCGAGCTTTGGACCACTCAGTACAGTGACATTATCTTGGTGAGCTGTGAGACCAGGAGGGGGAGGGTGCAACAGGCCGCTGGCATGATATGTGCAAGCACAGGGTTGCTGCTGATGGTGACTAATCTGGTGGTGGGTAAGTCTGCATCAGAGACATTGAAATTCTCTGTCTAACAAGAGGAGGCTTTTGTTCTCCATACCTCCGCAGTTCTAAACATTCCTGTTCTGACATGCAGTGTTTATGGTGCTCTGCATTTAAGGAATGTGGCAGCATCCCTTGACTGTCCTGTGAACAGGCTCTGCAGATGAGACAGCCTTACTCAGCTTACAGTGTACTCTGAGTGAGCTGTTTCCACAAAACATTACAGACAGCGAAGCCATGGTGCTTGCAGGGGGTTGCAAAGATGTGGTGGGAAAGAATAGCTACCAAGCATGCAAGAGATGCTTGTGACTAGTAGCCTTGGCTGTGTGTGTATTTGTATCGTGTTTGTTTTTTAAAGCCTTGTATGGCCCTCTTTTGAGGACAGGTAGAAGATGAAGAGCATGCTAGGGTGGGTTGTTGATGGCTGTGTGCAGACAGTGTTGCTGCATTTGTACAACTGTGCAGGTTCTGCAGGATTGAGGGATGCTGTGCCTCACTGACCCAGAGCCCTAGCAGTGTTTGGGAGAAGGATGGTTGCTCATTTTGGGGAGTGGACTAAAGTGACCTTTGGAAGGGGTCAGCCACAGAAAACAAAGGAATCATGTTCCTTTCAGCCTTTCTCAAAACCTGAGCGGCCAAAAGTACACCCAGCCCTGACTAGTCTGCTGCTGCAGACACGCTAGTGCTTTTACTGGGACAGACAACCCAGGTGAGGGATCTGTGTCTCTGGGGCTCAGTCAGCTTTCACATCCCCAGTTCATTCTGCAGTTCAGTTAGTCGACAGCAGCACTGTAGGCAAAGCAGAAACCAGATGCTAGATCCCCTTGTTCAGCAGAGAATTACTTACAAGATGGAGGCATCTATTTTGGGGTTGTGTAATGGTCTCTGTGCTCCTTTCTTGTGTCACTCCAAGCGATGGGTGTCTCTTCACATGGCCTGTAGTAAGTGGTGGACTTGCTGCATGAGGTTGGTACTAAATCCAATGCACATATGCCACTTGCTGGGTATTGGGACCTGGAATATCACAGGCTTCAGACTTCGGAAGCAGTCCCCGTCTTCCATTTGGACAAGGCTATGAGGTGTGTCCTCGGGGGCGATGGAGCAGACATGTGTGGCTTTCTCAGGTGCGCCTCTCACAAGTGCGGGAAGATAAAGTGGCAGAGGAGTGGAGCAAGAAAAAACTGTTGAAGAAGCATGGGGAAGCTGATACAAGGAAGCAGAAAGTGCCGAGTGTGGTAAGAGCAACTCTAGGTCCCTCCTGCATGTGGAAAAGGAAAAGAGTAGCAGGGAACCCATGCACTGTTCTGAATGGTGGGAGAGGGAAAGGTTACTGCCTCTCCTGCTGCAGGGATTTTAGGGTCCATGCTGCAAGATTTCTGTCTAGACAGTTGATGTTGGGTTTGAACCCAAGGGTACCTGTGGGGACAGAAGGGAGAGACCGCCCAACTGGTAGGTGGCAGGCCATGGAAGGTCAGAATGAGGTGTAACTAGCACAGGTTGTGTAAAAGCATTCACTTCATATCCTCCCATCTTTCCCCACTTGAGCTGGAGGGTTACAAGAGTTTTCTTCTTTCTTCTTCAGGAGGAAGATGAATTTGAGCAGCAAAAACCACTGCAGAAAAGGAAAGAGGATGAAGTGAAAGAAAAAGGAAGGAAAGTCTTGGAACTGAAAAATCTTGTAGGGCAGCAACAGGTGGAACAAGTGAAGGAGAGGTATTAGCTTGTTTCTGTCCTGGAGGAGGGGACTTGGCAACAGGCATGGTGAAGCAGTAAACATAAATAGTATTGCTGAAATTGGGAGACTGGTGTGAGTGTCAGGCTGTCCCAAGGTTTGGGCTGCTGAAGCAAGAGGCTATAAGAACACTTGGGAGTGTGGGCAGACATGCTTTCCTCTATAACTAAATTATAGGGTTTTTTCCCCAGGGATCACAGACAGCAAGGGAAAGAGAAGGCCCCCCAACCACAGCTGGAGTCAGCACTGTTCACTGAGAAGAACATAAAGGTGGGGAGTTAAAGTGGTCTTGGAACAACTTCTCTGTTGTAAACTAGCAAGGCATAGGATACACAGACTTATTTTAAGATCAGACCTGTTTTCCAAGTGCTGTGTTGCTGTTTAAGGTTTTCACATTCACTATTATGTTTAGAGAAACAAATATAGTAAAACTGATGATAAGCTAAACATGTTATTGTAAGGAGTTGGGGTTTGTGCAAGAATAAACCAACTCTGTTGACAGAGTTGGGGTTGAGTCTTTTCTTGTTAACAGGTGAGCCTTCTCAGCCCCATCACAAGATGGATGGCAGCCATACAATGGCACTTCGAAGAACACCTCCAAATAGCATTCACTGATACTGAACATGAAAATTAGAGGGGGGGGGGGGTCCCTACTACATTCACTTAGTGTATTTGGAGGATGTGATCCCCATAACAAACTTCAGGTATCATGGCTTCATGTAACTTCATTTGCATTTATACAAAGAATATTATGTCTTAAAGTCAAGGCTGGTTGTCTCAAAATATCACAGTAACATTTTCTTTCTGCTCTCTTTCTACCCTTAACATCACTCTCTTCTGCTTTCTTCATTAGTAAAAAAATCAACCCCTCAAATGCTACTCCTCTTAAGGATAAATTCCTTCTTCTGTATTTGCTCTTGCTGCTCTTATTCACCAGGTCCATGACATTCAAACTCCTATTTGTGCTATATAATTTTAATTAAGTTCTAAATTCTTCATATGTTGCCAGCAACTGGGCTGGAGTGAGCCATAGCAAAGCTCCTCCAGATAAGAGAGAAGTTGAATATAATTCAAAGTGCCTGCAGCTCTTCCCCTCCTATTAGCTCTCCATACTGAGTAGTATGGGAGAAGAAACTCCTGGAAAAAGGGGGTTTGGTTGAAAAGGAGCTTAAGCAGTGAAATTTTTTTCTCTTTATTAGGAAGAAGAGAGCCCAAAAGAGCTGCACCAGCTGCCTGGGCAGGAGAAGAGAGCCAAGCAACCAGAATCCATTGCCATGGCTTCTAATCCCTGGCTCAAAGCAGTAAAGGTGAGCATGGGCTGTAGGGACCTCGTTGATCTGGATCTGAGCAAAGACAGGAGTCGCTTTATCTTTGAGTCTTGGGGTTGTTTTTTCTTCTGCAGACGAAGGCACAGAGGGACTGAGGATTTTTTGCAAGGGCCTCGGAAAATATGGCTCAGTTCCAGAGATGGTCTGGTTGTTTTGCTTGGGTGAACATGAATGAAGAATGACTTAATTCTTGCATCTTAACAGAAGGAAGATGGTCTGCAGGAGCCCCAGCAGCAGCTGGGAGAGGAGAAAAAAATCAAGCGACCAGAAGCATTGACTGCTGCCTCTGGCACATGGCTGAGCAAAACTGTAAAGGTGAGTCCTGGTTCTAGCAGAGCTTGCAAATAAAATGAGTTGGTGGTGTCTAATTGGCTCCTGTGGTTTGGAGCCAGCCTGCAGATTTATTATCTATCAGTGGTGGAGCAGGAAATTAAATCCTCAAGTGTAGGCTGTTGGGGTTTAAGAGGCATCTGTGCAGAGGATGGGGATGTCTGTCTTCTTGGGTGCTTGGCCGAGAGCTCAGCACAGGGGCAACCTGCCGGAAAACCAAGTGTTTTATCTTGGAAAAGATGTTGGAAATGGCCACAGGATGGCAGCACGTCACGAAGCGTCAGTGTCGCTGCAGCCCGGCCAGCCGTCAGGCTGTTTGCTTTCCAGAAGCCTGTTTGAGCTGGAGCTGCTTGAACCTGGCAACTGAAGAGGTGGGAAGCTGCTCAAAGAGTCGGACTGGAGTACTGCCTCTGCCGGTAAACTCTCTTGTCTTGCGGCTGATTGGCTCCTCTTCTTCCGCTCAAATTCTTTGTGTTGCGACTCATGTCAGAGCTCTGGAGAATGAAAACCAGATCTGCTGTGAAAACTGGGAAGGTGTTTGAGTGGTAGAGCCATGTGTGCAAAAGCCAAGTCCTTAGACGTACATGGTATGTTCTTCTAAGGCCTTTCTACAAAAAACAGGAGGGGAAAAGGGTTAAAAGTAGTTATCAAGTCACTGAGCACAGTGACAGTTTGTGCATTTGTACAGATGTGTATATACTTCTGCATTTCCTTAAGGCAGAGTCCTGCAGAATTAGGGTTTCCTTCCTGGTTTATTCTCTGGTCAGCACCTCTAGGCACTCCTGTACTACATATGACTGTCAGGTCTGCTAGTCATCCCTGTTCCTCACCTCAAAGCCAGGAGGTATCTCCGAGCTTTGGCTTGCGCTGTTCCGACCTGCAGCTTCAATGTGAAACAGAGCCCTGGCTTTTTCCTGGCCGGGTACTGGCAGGCTCTTCCTGGCAGCTTGGAAGCTGCAGGATAGGCAAGCGGCTGTTTCAGCTCTGTGGTTTGCAGTCCCTGCTGCAGTACACAGTCTCATGCTACAGCCTGGCTTTCAGCGGCCCATGGTTTCAAAGCAAAGTCCAGTAAAAAAAAAAAAAGCCAAAAGGATTTGAGCACTTCTGGGTTTTACTGAAAATCTCAGCCCAAGTTACTTGTCAGATAGGAATATTATAGAGGTTCCAGTTAACGTGTAGATCAAAGGCTTCCCATACAAGGTAGGTGACCTTTTGGTGCTCCTGTTTTTTGAACTAGGGATGAAAATGAGTGTGAATGATGCATCTGCTCTAGGAAGTCAGCTCTTGTTTCTGGCTACCTTCCCTTTACAGTGAAGTTCCTTGCTGAGCTTGTGGCATTGGGAACTCGCTCGTGGCTTATGCTCAGTGTGAGGGTACTGCCTAAATACCTTAACAGCATCTTGCTGTGGGATCTAAGCTGGGACCTTAGCACAGTCTCTTTGTCTCACTGGTGCCAGAGCTTTGAGGTGCCTGCGATGGATCAGGCTGCATGGGTCTGGTAGTCAGCCTGCCCTGGTGAGGCAAGCTCTCCTGCCAGACTGGAAGGTTTGCTTCCTGCTCTAATCAATGCTGTCTCTGTGGTTTCAGAAATCTATCTCCACATCCTACTTAGAGCACCCGAAGGGCACAAAGGAATCCAGATCCCCAAAGGTAAATGAAAATAACTACGGGATGGATCTGAACAGTGATGACTCTACAGATGATGAGAATGAACCTCGGAAGCCTGTCCCTGCCTGGGCTGATGGTAGGTGCCAAGTTTGGTTTGGTTTCCTTTAATTCCTGCCCTGGGAAGCTGGAGCTTTCCAAATTCACATGGTGCAATCTCAGCTTCTCCAAAGTGCAGTCCAGGAGTGTGTGAGACTTCAGCAGTGCTGGCAGCTGCTGGCTCCGAGTGGTGAGGGGGACTGGAGCTGCTTTCCTGCAAGTGCTGTTGTGTTGAAGTTAAACCAAAGTCCTCCATGCATGTGTTTGGATCTGAGGGTGTGAAACGAATGGTGGGGGCTCACTAGTGATGAGGCAGCCTGTCCTCCTGAGAGAAACCAAGGTGTGGTGGGTTTGGGATACATCTAGTGTGCTGAGTAACTTGAAACAAGCACTGCTGGCAACCTGAAGATAAGTGTGGGGTTCAAAGCTTTGCAATGAGCAGGAAAACTGGTAATCGCACTCACTGTACAGTAATAGTTTTTCAGGTGTGAAAGAATAGTAACTGTCCTGCAGGCTCTAAAAGGGAAAGGGCACCTTAAACAGAGCACTGAAAACTTATTTATGAGTCTGCTTCTCTGATATGGTTGTTTCCACAGGGTCTCAGCTTAATCAAGCCATTTTACATCAATACTATCACCCAGTGAATGTTGACCAACTCTTTGGGCTAATTCCAAGCCCTAAGCTGCAGGATATTTTTGGCAAGAGCAAACCTCGATACTTCAAGCGCACAAGCTCAGCAGTTTGGCATTCCCCGCCTGGGACCAAATCTACCTGTGGCCCATCTTGCAACTTCAAAAACTGAGAAAATGCAAAGAAATGTGTTTTATGACAATATCGTGTATCAGTTTGTTTTCTTAGCATGCAGTGTATTTACAATTTTAAGCTTTTTTTGTACAAAAATTAATAATATTGAATAAAATCCTGTTGCAATAAACACTCTGTCAGTGTTTGTCTCTCTCCTTTCCCCCACCATGGTGGGGTGATGCTTCTGGATGGCTGATTTGAGGTTGATGGCTGTGGTTTCTGCAAGTGAAAATGCAGATGTTTGAAGATATGATACTGCACCGTTACACGTTCCCTCGGATTGCTTGCACAACCTTACACAAGGAAGCTATGAAATTACTGTAGGGAAGATAAAATTTTTTACTCAACCTGAGAGGGTAATGTTTTCATAACCTTTTCTGTACTATATTTATTTATTTAACAATGCTTCTATCTGCAAGTAGTTTTCCTTCAAGAATTCTTGTGACCTTTTGTTACTTGGAGCCAGAATCTTTTTCCCTGCAGTCAGAAAAATGTGCTTGGACAGTTTAAGCAATGTCTAAATGTCTTGTCACTGTTCTTTTCTGATGGAAAAATGAAGCCCAAGCTAAGTTCTTGGTCCTGTTTTCTAGGAGACTTTAGTGTACAGTCTTGCTTGGGCAGGAGGCAGATTTATTTGGAAGTTGTGGCTCGGAAAGGGTAAGCGGTAAAATGATTTCCTTAGGACCTGCTGAGTGCTCCCCTGCCCGTGCGCTCCCTGGAGCGTGCTTAGTGGCAGCAGGCAGCTTCCTGGCTCTTGCAGTGCATCCTGCACCCTGGGCAGCGGTTGCCTGGGGACTGGTACAGCATGCTGAGATGCTGTGGAGGGTCCCAGGGCCTTGCGGAGTTGCGTGGGGACAGCTGTGCATCCATGCTGTGCCTCAGCTGCCCTCAAGGATGTTCTGAGATGTTCCCTCAGCAGCATTCTGAGAGCGATTCAGCTAACTAAACCCTGCTGACAGTAGCAATAAGGAAGATGCTTAGATGAAAAGGGAAAGTCCCCAAGCCGAAGCCAAGTCCCACACTTGCCATAATAACTTTTCCTTCCTCTTTCTTCACTTCTTCCCTCTCAGGCTGTGCTGTCTAGTACAAATGCAAACACAGCAGAGGGACTCTGTCCCACCTTAGGTGATGTGATGTGTTGCAATGGGATCCCTTGTGCAGGTACAGGGCTGGGGCTATTCACTTTCTCTGCATGAGCAGAGCTGTGAGCCTGCTGCAATGAGGAGGAGGGTCCCTGTCCCTAGCTGGTGCAGCCTTATGCTGTCCCCAGCACTGGGCTTGTGCCATTAAGGTATCCTTCCCTCTGACCTTCAGGTGCAGGCTGCCAAGAGCAAACACAGAAATGTGGCCATGGACCCGTTCAGAGCTCTCTAGGGCTGCTTGCCTCCATTCAGAGGAGGTTTCAAGCTGGTCAGAGTGGTTTTATGAAGCTTTATGACAGGCTTGGAGAGTTTTGAGTAGTTTAGAAGAGTTTGCAAGTATCTCAGTTGAAGAGTCTTGCAAGCAGTTAGAGCTTTTGATGGGTCTTTAGAGCTGGTAACAGTGGTTGAGATCAGCTTTGCAGAGGCACAGAGCAGCTCAGAGTGTGTGAGCAGAGCTCTACAGCAGCTGAATGCTGTTTAAAGCTGCTCACCAGGAGCTCTGTCCTGGCTGCTGGATTGCCTCCCAACTCCTGGGTCCCCCCAGCTTTTCTGTTCATCCTGGGCTCCCTCATTGTCCCACTGGATGTCTGTGGGGCTCTCAGTGACTCTTGCTCTTCTGGCTCATCTCTCTTGGGTCCCCCTGATCTCTCTGGGTTTATCGCTGTGTCTTTTGGGCTCTCAGATTCTTCCAGGATTTCAGTGTCCCTTGGGTCTTGCAGCCTCTCTCAGTGGTGTTACCCAAAAGAATAACTCACAAGGTATAAGACACATTTGACTTGTTTTTTACTGAAAGAGGCTGAGCCTGTTGGAGGGGAGACATGCTCAGATGCAATCACCGCTGTACCCATGGGGAGTGCTCCTGCTACCTCCTCATCAGTGCACTACATTTTGAGGGCACTGACAGTGCTCTCCTCAGGGCAGCAGCACTCGAAGGGTCCTGCTGGTCCCACAGCTCTGGTGGTTACCTCGGTGCATTGCCACTTCTCTCCTGCTCCCTGCTGCGTCCATCCCAGCCCAGCTGCACCCCACTCCTTCCTCTCACACAGGGTGCTGCAGAGCTGATTTCAGCCTATGCAGCAACACCCTCAATTTGCCTTTCTTGGATTTGCCAGGGGTTTTTGTTGTCCAGCCCTCTTGGGATGCTCTGCACTTTCCTGGGTGCTCTGGGCTCCCTTGGTTTGGGTCTCTGGGGCTCTCTTGGATTCACCTGGGCTTTCCTGGTCTCTCTGGGGCTCTCTTAGCATCACTTGAGCTCTCTTGGGATCTCCCTGGAGGTTTTTTCCCCAGTTTCTCTGAGTTTTCTTGGACTCTCTTGACTTTTCTCACTAGTTGCTTTCTCAGGTGCTTTCAGGGTGGCTGTGGTACCTCTGAGCTTTCTTAATCTCTGCAGACTGGGATGCTCTTGTGTTGCCCATTTCTCCAGGCTCTCTTGGGCTATTTCAGGCTCCCCTGGTGTCCTCAGGCTCCCCTGAGCACACTCTGGCTGTTCCCTGCCAGCTGGCATCTGTCCCTCATGATAATCCTCAAATTACCTTGTTAGACATCGCCAAGGAAGGAGGCAATGATTTCTGGACCTGGCAGAGGATGGGACCTGGAGGTCAGGCTTTCATCTGGAGCTGGCTAGAGGTGCCTGGCTGCAGGAGGATCAAGGTTTTACTGGCAGGAGGCAATGGGGGCAGTCAGTCAGCATCATGCTTGGGGACAAATAGGTTTTGTTTCAGCCCCACACTGGTGCAAGAAGCGCCCATCAACCACAGGCTTGATGTTCTGGTGATGAGAAGGAAGTTCCCAGGAGGGCCCCTGCCGAAACTGCCAGCTATTGCCAGAGCATTTCCAGGACAGGCAATCAACAAAAGCCACAAAGCAATTTTGGAGGATGTGAAATTGGCTGGGGCAAGAAGTCGGCGGAGCCCTGCCAGGCTGTGAAGGGACCTGGGAGGTCTGGTCCCCTGTCCAGCCCCAGTTCGGGCATCAGGCTGGTGCCACTGGCTGGAGGGTGGGAGCTGGCACTGTCACCTCTCCTTCTCTGTATTCCTGGTTCCTGGGGAGGAGAGCTGCTGGTCCTACTGCCTGCAGGGCTCTGACAAGGGCTGAGCGGGACCAGGCTCTGGGGTCAGAGTGTGGTCCCAGGTGCCACCTCAGCAGACATGGGGATCTGGAGCTCAGGATTGGGGCTGAGAGCCAGAACTGGGTCATGGGGTAGGAAAAGAAGTATCATTCTTACCCATGGTGAGAGCTGTGCTCGTCCTCAGAGTGACCGGGAAGTTTAAACAGATTTGTGCTTTGTTAATCCAACTCTCTGCTCGGCTGCATAGTGGTGCTCCCAATAACGGGAGAGAAACCAGACCATGGGCCTGGACAGCATCCCTGGGGACTGCCTGGACCCTGGGGGAGGTCCTGGGGCATTGCTGTGGAAACAGGAACAAATGGAAACGTCACAGCATGAAGAGATTTCTGGGAGGTGATCTTTATTTCACATGGGTATAACACAAGCATTCTTTACAATATGGCCAAAAAGGAGAGGGAGAAGGCCTTCTTGGAAAGTACAGGATCAGGCAGAAATACAGAAACCCTCATCAATACACAAATCACAGTGAATGAACCATGGGTAGTGAATAAAAATCTCTGCAGCCAAGGTGTGTTTTGGGCACTCCCAGCAGTGGGGACAAAACACTGAAGTTTCAGGTTCATCCATTGCCTCATGCCGGTTTCCCACAGCCTCAGCCCTGCTCCTTCCCACCCACCGAGGACCTTGGAGCAGGTTCTCTCTGGACCTGTAATGCACGAACACATCTCAGCTCCGGGTGGTAATTCCTGCACTCCTCAGGAAGGTCAACCAGAGCCCGGCCATTCCTGTTGGAAGGTGCTTTCAGCACTAAAAGGACCTCTCATAAATAGAGGAAACATCTCCCAGACCCCTCATCCCCTCTTAACGCATGTGCAAGCTCTGTCAGTAAGCTGCCAGAGCAGAGCCCCTCGCTGGAATGAGTCCTGCTTGTCAGACATATTGTATATTCAGGTTGGGGTTTATGTCTTTGAGAGCAGCCAGCTTCTGTAACGTCTCTTCGTTTAATCCAGATTTCTTCAGCCTTTGGAGAGGAGAAGGAAAGAGGTTAAATCCACCCACGCTATTGACTGTTGGCCATGATTTTGCACAGCCAAAAAAGACAAAAAGCAACCAGTGTGGGGGGGGGTTTCTGGTGTTGTCTGGCCCCTGTCCTAGCCAGCTTTTTCTGCTTCAGCAAGCAGAGAGCATGGGGGAGACTGAGGCTAGGGCTGGTCCATGGAGCTCTCTCCATTGGGTAACCACAGCTCCACCGAGGCACTGGGCACCCCCCAGGGTCCTGCCGTGGCAGCCAGAGTTGGGCTCCATGGTCGCAGCATTTACTTAGCTGGGTCAAGGCAACCCCTGCATTGCCTCTGCCCACCACACTGGGCAAGGAGTTGACATCAGGAGGGCCAGTCTCAGGGCAGGAAAGGTGCCGTCACATGGAGCATCCATCTCTGCTGCCTGCTTTGGGGCTGATGAAACACGTCATCCCCCCCAGTTTTGTGCATTAGTAGTGTGTCCTGAGACATCACCGGCTGCTTTAGGAAGGCAGTAGGTCTCATCACGCTAATTCCAGAAGCGAGCAGCTGGTAGAGCTGGGGGGGGCGGCAGGGCAGCTGCCTGCTAGCTGGCAGGAGGCAGAGCCAGCTCCGGCTGCCATGCGGTGCTCTCCAGATGGAGCCACCCAGCACCTTGCCATCCCAGGACGCCTTCAGAGAAGGGCACCAGGAGCAGCCATAGCTTCACAGAAAACACACTCCCACCTCGCAGGACAGGCTGGGAGCTGTGGCATGAGGAGGCTCACGTCATGCTTGGTCCGTCCCAGTTCCCGCGGGGAGCAGCCCCGTGGCTGGAGGAGCACTACAGCCAGGGCAATGCCCAGAGGAGCCGAAAGTCCCTTACCAAAGTCTCTGCAAGAAGCTGGTGGGATGCCTGAGCATCTCGCACAGCAGCTGCACACAGCCATCTCCCAGGTCATTCTCACTCAGGTCCAGATGCTCCAAGCTCCGGCTGGTGCTGAGCACGGCGCAGAGGTCCTCGCAGCAGGCGCCGGTGAGTTGGCACTGCCACAGACTGCCAGGGAGGTGTTTGGAGAAAGGAGACATTTGGACATTTCATGCACAGTCCTTCACAGCCAGAAACCTTGCCTGTGCTGCCTAGTCAGCCAGCCCAGGTCCTCTGGATGCCTGGAAATAGCTTCCAGGGAGGACTTTCTCCAAAGCCTTCCTCTGGGCATCTTGTGAGGTGTCTGGGAACATCCTTTCATATGGGCACAGGCAGGACTGGGCTTCCTCTTGACTGGGGTACCCCTTGATTGTTTCTCACAACCACAGAATAGGATTGGGGTGGTCTTTAAGGAGGAAACGACTATATACGTGCACCTGAAGTGTGCTGGTGGATGGAATAGCTGCAGCTGGGGCAGTTAGCATACTGCTGCTTTGCCTGGGAGAGCTTTAAATCCTAGTCATCTCATCTGGGTGATGATAAATAATCTCATATAGCTAATAAAGAAATAATTTTATATTTTTAAGCTGTTAGCACCCTGCCTATTGAAGCTCTTGGCACCCACCTGAAGGTGTTCAAACTGCCCTGGCAAGGGATGGTGACCAGCCACAGGGAGACTCATCAGGGGAGCACAGGTGAGTGGCAGATCCCTGCAGAGAGCATCTTCCCAGCCCCAGCAGCCCCCAGGAGCCCCTCACCTCAGCATCTGCAGCCGGCAGGCAGGATCCTGCAGGCCCTCACACAACTGCCGCACACCTCTGTCCCCCAGCTCGTTGGCCCCCAGGTGCAGCTCCATCAGGCTGGGGCTGGCAGCGAGCACCGCAGCAAGAGCCCCGCAGCTCGCCTCTGTCAGCCGGCACTGCCACAGCCTGCACGGGAGACAGGCAGAGGAGAGGGGCATCGTCATGGCTGCTCTGGCAGCCCATCAGCCCAGCTGCCCACTGATCTGTGGGGACAGTGCCCACTGCACCCATCCACACTGACGGCACCTTTGCCCCAGGGCTGACAGGGAGGAGAATATCTCAACAGAGAAAAACTGGCCCTGCTCACAAGGTACCTCGCTTCTGTATTTCCTCCCAAATCTTGTAGGTTTTTTTCCTCTTTGACTCTTGTACTTACAGGTGTGAGCAGCACCCTGAAGGCACTGGCTAGTGGCGAGGGGTTTCTCAGGTCCTTCAGGACCTAGAAGCTGCCACCTGCCCCAGCAGCGCCACATCTCCTATCCAGGGGCACTACACCCCCCTCCCCTTGGCTCAGCATCACTACTGGAGCTCAGGAGTGTAAAACCGCTGCCGGACTGAAGAGCTGCATCACCCATCTCCTTCCTCTCTGGCCCCAACACAGTTCAAAGCAAAGGTGCTGCTCACCACCCCCAGTTAGCTACCCTGCCTTCAGTGCCTCCACCAGCCCAGCTCAGACTCCTTTTCCCAGGGGGTCTGTGCAGGTGGGGGGATGTTGCCCGAGCCCTGGGAAATGCCACCAACTCCAATTTTACCACTCTTGCTGTGCGGCCCCTCTGCAGCCTGTTCTCCTGCCTGGCTTTCTGCTACCTGTGCTCACAGGATGGCTGAGATGCAGCTCATTTGTAGCTCCAGGGGAAAAGTAGGTAAGAAGCTCAAGTTTAAAAGCAGATGAGAAAACCAGAGCTGTCTCAGTGGTGGTGGCCCTGGTGAAAGATGACACATCACCTTTGCCCTGCAGGTCTTAGGAGGGCAGCCAGCGTGGTGCTGCACAGCCCAGAAGCGCATTACATCCTCTGAGCGCTAGACAGCAATCGCTTTCTATTTTTGACTTGCAGACATCCCGCTTGTAGAGGGTCCTGGTGCCCACCCAGCGATGTCCCCCCTGGGAACCCCTCACCTCAGCATCTGCAGCCGGCAGGCAGGATCCTGCAGGCCCTCACACAGCTGCCGCACACCTCCGTCCCCCAGCTCGTTGGCCCCCAGGTGCAGCTCCATCAGGCTGGGGCTGGCAGCGAGCACCGCAGCAAGAGCCCCGCAGCTCGCCTCTGTCAGCCGGCACTGCCACAGCCTGCACGGGGGACAGTACCGAGGCTAAGCTGGTCTCAACCCCCTGGCAGCCACTTCTCTCTGAAAATCACCCGCTGCTTTTTGAGCCCAGGGTTGTGGTCAGGCTGTTTAATTAGCAGTGCTCAGGGGGAGCGACGTGGCGCAGCAGGGGCAGAGCAGCACCCTGCACACCCGGCCACAGTGACCCCCCCCAAAAGGCGTCCACCAGGAACAAAGCAGGACAAAGCAGGACCCACCAGCCCAACGCCCATTACCAGAGCTTTTGCATGCTGCAGCTGGGTCCTGCTAGTGCCCCGCACAGCTCCCGCATGCCACTGTCCTCCAAGGGATTGTCGCTCAGGTCCAGCTGCGCCAGGCTGGACATGGTGCCCAGCACGGCAGCGAGGTCCTTGCAGCCGGTGGCCGTGAGGTTGCAGCAGCCCAACCTGAGGGAGAGACGGCGGTGAGGCTGCCCGCCCGCTAGTGCTTCGGCCCTCCTTTCCATCGCCCCAGGTCAGAGGAGACCTGGCCAGTGTCCCCTGCCTTGGTCCAGGCATGCATGTAGCTCCTGCAGCGGCTTTGGGGACACTGTGTTGGAAAAGAGAGGGGAGCATCTCACCGCCCTCTCCCCATCCCTCTCCCAAAGCTGGTGTGCCTGTACTGGTGTTCACTGGTGTTTCCTTGTTTGGCATCCCTGGGTGCAGTGAGGCTGAGAGCAGCTCAAACATTCTCCAGAGTGCAAAACAGAACCCGAATCTGCAGACTCTAAGGGACAAAAATGCCAAAGTGCAGCCACGAGACAGTACCCGGCAGCAATGCCGCTGTGCTGGAGTGTGGGAATGGACAGGTAAGGCAACCACACAGTGTCCACTTGACCAGGGAGTAAAGGTCTGGGGGCAAACAATTAATATTGCTTGAATGAGTGAGATTAACCTTCCTCACTTTTGAAGTTTCAGAGAGATTCCCTCTTTCAAATCTTATTGTCCAGGCTGAATCTATACCAGGGGGAAATGGAAACACCAAAAAAAAAAAAAAAGGAGGGGAAAACGCAGACACCACTAAGGGGTGGTTCATCCCCTTCCCAGAAACGGTCTCTGGAGTGAATCCACTTCTGCAATTACGTTTCTGCATGATGCGTGGCCAGCCCTGTCCCTGCCTGGGCACACAGGGACCTGAAAACACCTGCGGCTGCAGGGCAAGAGCCCAGGGAGAAGGTGTCTGGTGTGCACAGACACCCACAGACAAACAAACAGCAGGCACAGTAGCACAGAGCTCTCCTCTAACTTCTCCATCTGGCCTCGGCACTGAAAATCAGCTCTCTCCCTTACTTTCCTGCAGCGTCCTAGCAGAGACTCATTCATTTAAAAATGTGGAACTAAATTATATTGATGGAAAAGGCAATAATAAAGGTCAGGCCCCTGCAACAAGTAGGTCTGCAATGCCTCAAGCTATCTTTGGCAACAGCAGCATTGATAAATAGGCCTTTCTCATTTCTTTTTTCTTTTTTTCTCCCTCTTCCAGGCTCACAAAGAGAAGAGACAAATGGTCCTGCAGCCTGCTGGAGCTCACAACGTCCCTTACCGCATTGTCTGTAGCTGGCAGGCACCGCGTCTCAGCCCCTCACACAGCAGCTTCACACCACTGTCCCTCAGGTCTTCGTTCCCAGCCAGGTCCAGCTCCGTCAGGGTGGGATTGACGCCGAGAACGGAGGCCAGAGCCGCGCAGCAGGCACTTGTGAGCTGACACCGATCAAACCTGCAGGAGAGACGCAGAGAGGAGCCACGGGGCTTGGCACAGCTGCCCTGCTGCATGGACACACCAACCAACCCCTTGCTGAGATAGCCACCACTGATGACATCCACAAACTGGACTGGTCTTCACAGATGGCCTCCCAGGAGCAGGACAGCAGCCCATCCCACCGTGCAGTGAGCCGTGGCGGCACGTAGTCATCCTCCCCATGCAGCAAGGAGACCCAGCTGGGCTGGCTGTGGTTTACTTGTTTTCCCATTTCACCCGGCTGAGAGGAGCAATATACCTTAACATCTTTAATTTACAGCCTGATTTTTCCAATGCTTGACAAAGCAGGTGGATGGGTGACTGCTTCCCCTCCTCTTGCTGTTTTTCCCTGAAAAGAAAGAAGAGATGCATCCTATTCCTATTCCTCTCCTACTCCTAGTCTATTCCTATCCTAGTCAATTCCTTTCCTATTCTATTCCCATTCCTATCCTATTCCTATCCTATCCCTGTTCCTATCCTATCCTATTCTATTCCTGTTCTGTTCTGTTCTATTCTATTCTATCCTACTCCTAGTCCTAGTCCTAGTCCTAAACTATTCCCATTTCTGTCCCTACTCCAGTATGCTCCTTGGCCGCCAGCTGTGTCCCTAGGTCACACCTGTAGCCCCTTGCCAATGTGCCTGGCATGGCGGGAGGACCAGCCTTGCTGCAGGCTCCTCCACAGAGTCATCACAGCTCTTTCGGTTCTAAGGGATTCGCCACTTTGCGGCTTGGGACCTTACGCACCGATATGCCTGCTTGGCCGGCTGTGGGCCCACAGAGTCCTCGGGGTCATCCCACAGAAAGGAGCAGTGCCCCAGGTCAAGCGACTCCAGCTTGGGGAAGTGTTTTATGCTGAAGGAAAGGACCAGCTGATCAAAGCGGTTAAGGTTGAGCCCTCGTAGGTACACGCCCGTGAAAGGATCCAAGGCAGCCGCCACAAAACGCTTGTCCTGGAGCTCATACAGACAGTGGCAGACCTCCAGCTCACGGATCACCGCCGTCTCCTGCATCAGAAGAGCTAGGGCTGTTTTCTGGCTGTTTTGAAGCCATGCCAGTAATTCCTGTGTAATCCTTGGTGTGATTTTACACCCCATCTCCTCCTCCAGCTCCCTCCTGTGTTCCTCATTTAAGAGCCCGAAGAGGAACCGCACGGTTAGCATGAAGTAGTTCCTGGAGTTGCCGTAGCTCTCCAGCAGCTCCTTCACATCCCTGCTGGGACCAGCGGGGAGGTCCTGTGCCTCCCCTTCATCTTCTAGCAGGTAGAACAGCGCTGCAAAAAACTCCTGGAAGCTGAGGTGGATGAAGCTGTAGGTGCTGACGCAGGAGATGTCCTTCTGGAAGAGATGCTCGTTGAGGAGGAGCGGGAGGGCTTCTAGCTGGTCCAGTGCATAGCCCTGCACCTCCTTCTCCTCAAAGAGGACCTTCTGCTTCCAGATGCCATCAGCTGCCAGGCAGCACAGCTTTCTGAGCACCCTGGGCATGCCTTGCTTCAGCTGGCTGCTCAGAGACCGGAGCAGGGCAGAAAGGTAAAGGATGTAGATCCTTGTCGTTGTCTTCAGGCTTTGGGCGAGACCCCCGGTGCGGCCAAGCTGCTGCTTCATGACAGTGCAGACGATCCAGCACACGATGGGCACCAGGCACATGGTGAAAAGTGTCTCGTTCCCTCTGACGAACTGGAAGGCGGCAGCTGCCTGCTCCGCATTATCAAAAAACTTGTGGAAATACTCCTTCCTCTCTGCCTCCGAAAACCCCAGGATTTCGGCATAGCGCTCACACTCCAGGCACTTGCCCAGTTTCTGCAGGGCAGCAGGCCTCGTGGTGATGAGCAGGGAGCACTCGGGCAGGAGCATCCTGCGGAAAAGGCTGCTCAGGATGATTTCCACTGGCCTCTCCTCCTGGGGCTGGAAGCACAGCTCGGACTTGGGCAGGTCAAAGGAAAAGCGGAACTCGTCAAAGCCATCGATAACAAAGAGGAGCCTCTCTTGCTGCCTCAGTATCTCGTCAAGTGGCGGAGAGCTGCCAGGATAGCACTGGGTGATGAGGTTGGCCACGCTGGCTGGGCTGGTGAGGAGATTGCCCTCCCGGCAGTGGATGTAGAAGACGTAGTCAAACTCCACAAACATCTTGTTGGACGCCCAGTCCAGCATGATCTTCCTGGCTGTCATTGTCTTGCCCACACCTGCGGCTCCCAGGAGCACAACCACCTTGGGGGTCCAGCCATCAGGGCCGGGCTTGAAGAGGTCGCTGACAGCGATGGAGGAACTGGCTTGCTCTTTCATGATCTCTGCATGCCTCCGTCCCATGGCCATGATCTCATGCTCCCGTTGCTCTTCGTCACGGTGCTTGTTGATGATCACCAGCTTTGAGTACCTGGTGTTCAGGCTCACGTCATCACCCATCCGGGCATTTTGGTCCTTTATGCGGCTGTATGCCTGGCGTATGGCTTTTTTGTAATTCCTCTGGTAATCTGGAAAGGCAGGAGGCCACCTCACACGTCTGCGGAGTGTGGGGCGAGCGGCGGCAGAGCCCCCCGCGCTTCTCCCTGCTGGCACCTACCTGATGATGATGAACCCCACAGAGCAGCAGGCCCCAGGGCTGGAAGAGAAAGTGGTGTTAGTGGGCAGCATCACTGAGCACCCAACACCCCCAAAGCCTCTTCCATCACTTCATCCCTGGAGGAGCCCCCTGCACCCTACCACAGGGACCCCCAACCCACCACCCTTTCCGTAGCATCCTCATGGCTCCAAACATGGGCTCTTGCAGACACAACCCCCAGGACATGGTGCCTGGGACCCCACAGGATTCTGTACTCGCTGGGGAGCCGCTCAGCCTTCCCACCTTTCTCTCTGCTTTCCCGGAGCAGGGCAGCAGCATTGCGGAGCTGGATGCTCTCAAAGACGGCTATCGCCACATCCAGGGCGTCCTCCCCACCGTAGAAATCCAACATGAGGTTCTTTGTATCTGTCCAGTCGGCCTTCTCCAGCCGCCCCCAGGGAATGCAGGTCCTGCCCTGCAGGTCTCCATGTGCCAGCGCGTCCCGAAATTTTTTAAAGTCCAGCTCGGAGAGGTCTTCCAGGGCCCGGAGCAGCAGCAACCCAGCAGTGCCCTGGGAGCTGTCTCTGCTTGGGGCGCAGTTCCTGCTGCCACGCAACCCCATGGGGAGAGCCCCCACACCCAGCTAACACGTTGCCCTTGTGCCTGTGATGGGGGGACAAGGTTTGGGGAAACCATCCTGTCAGGAGCTGCCCCAGCCCCACAGCCCAGCCCCATCCCAGTCATGCTGTCTCTGCCCCGGGGGAGCTGTGCCCCCTGCTCCCCCGCAGCCTCATCCGCCCTGCTCCACTCCCCAGGGGCCGGGGCTGTGGGGCTGGCTGTCCCCAACCAGGCACCATGGTCCTGCCTGCTGTACCCCTGCCTGCTTCCCCAGCCCAAACCATCCCTGCCAGCATGAGCATGAGGAGCAGCAGGGCAGCAGTCCAGGGGCTTGCCACCAAAGCCTCACTAGAGCCGTGTCCCACCACGTGAGCAGTGTCCCTGCCGGGAGAGCTATGTCCTCACCAGGAGAAAAATGTCCCTGCCAGGAGAGCCATACCCCACCAAGAAAGCAGTGCCCCCACCAGCAGAGCGATGTCCCCACCAGGAAAGCAGTGGAACTACCAGGAAAGCGGTGTCCCCACCAGCACAGCGATGTCCTCACCAGGAAAGCAGTGGAACTGGCAGTAAAGCAGTGTCTCCACCAGCAGAGCAATGTCCTCACCAGGAAAGCAGTGGACCTACCAGGAGAGCAGTGTCCCTACCAGAAGAGCAATGTCCTCACCAGGAGAGTATCATCCTCAACAATAGAGCCATGTTCCCACCAGGAGAGCCACGTCCCTACCAGGAGATTGGTGTCCTCACCAGGAGAGGCATATCCCCACAAGGACATCCATGTCCCCACCAGAAGGACCACTGTCCCACCAGGGTCACAGCCAGGCAGCTGTCCCTGCTCTGGAACAAGGCTGCTTCAGCCTGTGTGGGACCCGCTGTGCAGTGCCATCATGCCATCAGGATGGGTTGGCAGGGATGGCTGGAGTCCTTCATTGTACTGACAAAACGAAGCCGGTGAGCCGCGCAAGCGCTCCGATTTCCTGTAGGGGCACAGTTTCACTTTCAAAGGGTGCCACAGTTCCTTCCCCCTCAGGTCAAGGTTCTCACACTTCATGACCTTTCTGCACCTTATTTATTTTCCCCTTTTCTTCTCTTTTCTTCTTAGCACCAGCTCCTTCCTTCTCGCACTGCAGCAGAGGGTTGTGCTGAAAGCATGCAGACCTCAGCACCCGGCTGTGGCAGCTCGGCTGCTGTCAAGTCCTGCACAGCCTGCGACATGCCAGTCAGCCAAAACAGCCAAGGCTGGGCCAGCTGGAGGGTTGGCGGTGGCTTTGCCACTTCTTGGAATTCATCCCGCCACGGAGCTGAACATCAGTCCCTGGTGTCCCAACTCCAGGGAAGGCTCTGGTCGGCTGGCCCATCACCACATGGTGCAGGTGGCTCTGCTCTCTGCTGGGGACTTAAACAGGCAGCGGGGTCCTGCCATAGGACCAGGTCACACCACGGGCTTTTTGGTCAAACAAAACGCTTCAAAAACTCAGGCTGACATATGGGTAACAGACCAAAAAATCTAGTGGGATCCACCAGATCTGCTGCCAGGGGAAGGGGCAGGCTGAGGAGCAGCCCTGAAGGTGAAATTCGGGCTGAATTGGAGCTGCAATCCCCCCCCCCAGCCATGTGCACACTCCTGGCAATGAAAATGAGCTGTAAGCTAACAGCCATGAGCGGCTTTGTCAGAACACAGCCCATTTGCAGGGACCCAGCCAGCAGGTCAGAGTGCCAAAACCTTCTTGGGCAAACGTGGCTGGCACTGCAGGCATGGCAGGCGGGTGGGGGTGAAGTGGCTGAGCCCCCCGGGAAACGCTTCTGTGGCCCCGAGCTAGGTGCAGGCAAAAGTACACAGGAGTGAAGCAAAAAAAAAACCCCACAACCCAACTCTTTCTGAGACTGAAACTGCAAAAATGCCTCCGAAGCAACTTCACAGGAGATAACAATGTGTAGGGTGAGAAAAGAAACCGAGAGAAGGTGCTGCCCCACCTACAACCCCTGCCTGCACAACGGCACTGATGTTAATAGTGTTTGCAGACAAAAACTGAAGTATCCCAGAGGGAAAGCTCCAACTACCCTTACTGCAGCCACGTCCTGTGCAACACGAAGACAAATCCCACAAGAGCAAAACCTGCTTAGCCGATTGCAAAGCATTTCGAACTTGTAAGACCTCCACCTTGGCACGGATGCACCATGCTCAACTCCAAAAGCCACTTTGGGTTTCGGATTTCTGCCTCCAGCTTGTGATTACAAAGAGTGTCAGCCAAAGGAAAAATGTGTCTTGGATGGAGAGAGACCCAAATCGATGTCAAACCAAGCTCTGTTGCTGCCAGGATCCTGGTGCATTCCCATTTCCCTGAGTTTTACCCATCTTACGGTGATGGCATTCAGGCTGGGTTAAATTAGTGCAAACTCATTAATGGTTGTGGAGCTTTTTTTTTTTTTTCCCCCCAAAAAAAAATGTTAAGAACTGGTCTAATATATTGAGAGTGATGCTGGGGAAACTGAAAGCCAGTCTGCTCGATGCTTATTGCTTAAATATCAGTGGCGCAGAAGCTGGACACATCGTGGGTGCAGCAAGGTTTCTTGGGGTGGACGGGTGCTCGCCCTGCTTAGTGCTCTGCCCGGCAGCACCTACAAGGGACTTTTTGCCCCCAGACCCAGGCTGCAGCAGCATGCAGATGCGGGGCCACACGGTGTTTCACCGGCTCCTTGGTGCAGCCACGGCTCGTGGCTCTCACCGCCTGCCCTTCCTGTGAACTTCCTGCCTCTCTGGGGGAAATGGCTGTGGTTTGACAGGTGCCGCTCCCACCGGTGTGGGGATGGGGCCTGGCTGGCAGCCTGAAATGAAACCGCTTCATCCCTCGCTGCAACCCCAGCCATGCCGCCAGCCAACCTTGGTCCTCCGGCAAAAGCTTGTGGCTGGAGAAACCCGTGGGCACGCTTGGCAGTGGGGGCCAGGAGAGGACTCGTGATGTGCCCAAGCCCTCCTCCTCCAGCTCTCCCCATTGCTCCCTGGCATGGGAAGATGTATGGCCACCAGCATCACCCGCAGCCCCCTTTTGTGGCTCGGTGGTGGCAGTGGAGGCGGATACAGTAAACCTTGTTTACTTTTGGGGGGCCAGAGGTGCTGTGAGAGCCCACGCCAGGAGCCGGGAGGATGCTGCGGCGAGCCCTACAGCTGGGCCATGTGTCCTGCCACCATCTCAGGCTGCAAACCAAGAGCTGTGCTGCCTGTTGACATGCCAAGGAGGCTGGGCGAGCTCCTGTTTGTGACCGACAGCTTTGACTACCCTTCAAAAGAAGAGATGTAACCATTCCTCTCCTCCTCTCCAAAGCTTGAATGCATACGGATTAAACAAAGGGGGCTATCAGATGCTGCCTGCCCTGACAGAGATAAAGCCCTGAATATAAGGCAGATTTATCGAGCCAAGCTCCCTGGAGCCATCCCAGGCTCCTGGGGACTGGGGTGACCCCAGCTGTGGGCAAGCAGGGCCAAGCCTCGGAGAGCTGGCTGTAGGAGAGGGGCCTGCCTTACTGCCAACGCCTTCCCCAAAAAGGGGAGGGGGGGGAATTGGAAAGGGGGGCTAGAAGCAAGCTCGGAGCGATCATCCAAAAAGCTAGTGCTCTCCCGCCTGTGGTTTTGTCCCAGAAATGCTGTTTCGATGGGGCTGGGCTCTCGCAGGGGGGCTCCGTGGGTGAGCTGATGGAGGGCAGCCTTCCCACCCCGAAGGTGAGCATCCTAACCCTGGCTCCAGCGGAGCGGGTGGCAGCTCCGTCATGGACGCTTCCCAGCCGCTGTGGCGGTGCCCCCATGGCTGTGACCACAGGGGGGTCGGTGAGGGGGCCCCGGGCCGAGCTCTGCTGTGCCACTTGGCCCCGAGGGCCATTGCGAACAAGCCCCGGTTGGGGTAATTTGCTCGTTTATTTGCTGCCAATGTAGCCCAAAACATGGGGGGGGGGGGGGGTGGAAAAAACTTGGCACTAATAGATGCTGGGAAGAGATCTGCAGCCAGGCTTGGGTCTTATCTCTAATTATGTGTCTGTCTAAGCTGCAGCTGGCTCCTGGGATGTCTGGGTGTATTTGGCTCCCGGAATTTCCCTTGAAGCCTGCTGGGAGCCCGGGCTACGAGCAGCGCCAATTAATACCCACCACAGAGAGAGGCGGCTGCATGCTGTCAGGCTGCAAGCCGCCGCGACGAGGAGGAGCTGTCCTGGGGGACATGGGGAGCAAACAGCCCCCGGCCAATGCCGCTGAAATAGTGGGATTGGGCCGGTGGTTTCAGATGGGAAAAGGAGCAACTCTATGAAAACAGTACGAGAAAATTAAAACAAGGAAATCCCCTGCCCTGAATGCAGGCAGGTTGGGTTTTGAAAGTGCCTCCTTCCCAAAAATGCCATAGCTGTGGTGTTGCAATGTTTCCAGAGCAAAACATGGGCACCCTTGTGATCTGAAACAGCTGTTTTCATGGTAAAAAGCCAGCCACCAGGAGGAAGGCAGCTCGCTAAAACCCGCTTTGTCCCCGCCCCATCCAAAAGGAGAAGGGAAACAGAATTTTTCAGCTCGCGTGGAGCAAAACAATCAGTGTCAACCTGAGGCATTTTCCAGGTCTACGAGCAAGAAAAAAAAAAAAAAAAAACCAACCCAAGTTTCAGCTTATAGCAAGCTGGAGGGGGGGTTGTGTGCCGGGTTAGGTAGGCTTTTAAATGGAAATGCAGCCGTCCCTGCTGCAGCCACCACCGCTGCAACCCCCCTGGGCCAGTGGGTCCCTGCGGCCCGAGTACATTGGGGTGACAACAGTCGGGTAACGTCACTCCCGGTTTGATCCAGGATGCCTTATTTTTTCCCTCTGCCAATACGTAATTTGTTTCTGTTTTCAGAGGCCGGGAAACCCTGATTCACCCTATCCCACAGGGGATGCTTCCCAGTGCTGGGGGGTGCGGGGACGGCTGGGGACCAGCTGAGCCTGTGGCGGGGGAGCAGGAGGCCACCCCTCTTCCCGCTCCTTCCCACCTGGATGC